ACCCCCAGGCTCAGCACCCCCAGTGTCAGCACCCCCAGGCTCAGCACCCTCAGCAGCACCAGAGTCACTAGTGACCTCGACAGGCTCGACTGCGTCTACCTAGGACACACCTGAAGGGGACGGACCCTGAGGGGGGAGGGGGTCTACCGGAGGGGGACCTGGAACAAGGAAGAGCGGCGGCGGGGGTAGGGACTGAGTGCGGTAGGGGAAGAGGCGGTAGTAGGGGACCGACTCGTCAAACGTGACGTCCTGGGAGGACAGAACACGTCGAGAGGTGGGGTGGTAGAACTGCCACCCAGGCGCGTCAGGGGGGAAGCCAAGGAAGACGCAAGGAGCAGCACGAAGGGACAGCTTGTCCGCAGACAAGTCGCGGACAAACGCCCGAGATCCCCAGACCTGGAACGCCGACGCATCGCCAACCTTCCCCGTCCATAGCAAGGCTGGGGAGGTCTCCGGCCTGGAGACCCTGGGGTGTAGGTTGATCTGATGCGCCGCGTACCTCACCGCAAACGGCCACAGAAAATGGGGAGCAGCCGCATGCATCATAGACGTACGAGCGACGTCCATGACCATGCCTATGCGGCGCTCAGCAATCCCATTTTGCTGCGGAGAGTCCGGAAGCGTGAAGGTCTGACGGATGCCTCGTGCGCGACAGTAGGCCCTCAGAAGGCCAGACGAAAACTCTCCGCCTCTGTCCGAGTGCAGACGCAGAACAGGAAAGTCCGAACCAAAGCTCTGCCTGAGCTGGAGACGAGCTGCGCGGATCCAGTCGATCAGCACCTCAGTGACATCACCCTTGCTGCGCAAGGGGAAGACTGCGGTGTAACGCGAGTAGTCGTCAACAACAAGCAGGAAGTAACGCACGTGACCCTGTCCACGGACACGGGCTGGGCCCCACACGTCCATGTGAAGCGTCTGCAACGGGGCCTCTGTCGGAGGAAACTGGGAGGAGTGAGGGGCAGCCCGCTGGCGCCCCTCGACACAGGGGACACAGGTAGGGCCAGGGCCCTGAGGAAGGGGAGGGAGGGACCGGGGGAGACCAGAAACAAGAAGACGGGAGGCCATGCCTCTGAGCCGAATATGAGAGGGGTGACCCAGGCGGTGGTGCCAGAGGAGAGTCTCGTGAGACAGGAGGCGACACGAGCAGGGGGCAGACTCAGGACCAGACATGGACGCTGCAGCAAACACCTGACCCGACGCAGTGACCCTACCAGACTCAACAACTGGAGGAGACGCAGTGGTCAGTGTGTACAAGCTCGACCCCGGCTGACGGGTAAACGTAGCCAGGTGTCTGCCTGTGCTAGCCTGTGTGCAGTGCGTCACCCGCTGACGCGCAAGAGTGAACGGGTGTACTCCCCCATCCTGTAGGTCAGCACCACTCACCAGGTTCGTAGAGAACGAGGGGAGGTAGAGACCAGACAGGGTGCCAGAGGGAGCCGCCGGACACGGGAGGACTGTGGAGAAGTGAGACAGGACAGGACTCCTAGAGGGGTCAGCGAGAGACACCGCAACCGGCCGACTAAGCGGCGTGAGCGTGGTGCGGTCCCGAAAGGAGCGAGAAGCCCCAGAGTCAAGGGTGAAGGTGAGGGAGGCCGAAGCCGACGTAGTACCTGAGAGCGCAGACTCACCAGTACCTGAGGACGCAGACGCACTAGCACCTAGAGCAGCAGCGTCGCAAGCACCTAGGGCGGCCGCCTCACTAGTACCTAGAGCAGCAGTCTCAATGCCCGGATCGGGCGGGAAACACCGGTAACAGTCACCCTCATCACTAAGAGACACAGCATACATGGCAGAAAGAATGGCATCAAAATCAAGATCATAGATGGCAACACCTGCCCTAGACACCTCGCCCCAGCGAGGGATCTCTGCGGCCTCCGGGAACTGGTGACGCCACGCGTCTGTCAGGCGGCCAAAGCAGCGCTGGGTGGGGTGCGCACCCCCACACTGCTCACCCGCACGGTCGCCGGTGCGCAGGACGTAGGTGCACGGACCAAAACCCCCACCCCGCTGGCGTGCAGTGTACCACTCACGGAGCTGCTGAGGGGACAGGGTCTCACGACGGCGCTGCTGCTGCTGGCGCGGACCACCACCGGAGCCACTCCTCCGCGTAGACCCGCGACCAGCTCCACCGCCACCCCCGCCGCCTCCGCCGCCTCCCCTACTACCGCTGCCTCCGCCGCCTCCTCCACCACCACCACCTCCGCCACCTCCGCTCCCACCGCCACCGCCGCCGCCGCCTCCGCCTCCACTGCCGCCACCGACACCTCCACCCCCACCTCCACTCCCACCACCACCCGCATTCCCCCGGCCGCCTCCACCTCCACCTCCACCGCCCCCGCTCGCTCCTCCAGCGCCCCTGCCCCCCTTGCCCTTGCCTGAGCGGCGTCTCCCGCTAGGGGCACACGCCGCACCGACCGACTCAAGACCAAGGAGGTCGGTCGCAGCAGTAGAGGCAACAGAGGGCACAAGGGGGGAGGGGGAACACCCCTCAAAGATGGGGGTGCGCGGGTCGCCACGAGAGGCCCCTACAGCGACTATGCTCTTCTCGGCCGCTAGGAGGGACTTCTCGAGGAGATCAACAGTGAGAGTGGTGGGACAGACTGAGAGGAAGTGGTCCCTGACTACGCGAAGGGAGTCAGGGAGGCGAGTGACTAAGTAGTAGAGAGTGGTGTACATGGGGGGGGGGGTTCTTGGCGCAGAAGTCAGCAGGAAGCGCAGCGCGGTAGCGAGTGTCACTAGTGCGGAGGTGCGTAATGAGGTCAGCTACTGTGGGAAAGGCAGCAAGGTCAGGAAAGAGGTACGGTAGCATGAGGCGGCTCAGTGCAGCAGTGGCAGGGGAAGAGTAGCGCGCAACTACAGCGTCGTACAAGGTCTGAGCACTCTTGTACTGACTAAAGTACGCGCGCTCAGTGCTAGGAAGGTGGCGATGCACAGCAAGACGTGCAGCAACATCACGAGTGGCCCACTGTGAGCGAACGGTGGCGTCGGCATCGGCAGCAGGGGCAGGGGAAGCACTAGAGGTGAGGTCAAGGAGGGAGAGACCGTCTGCCCTATCGCACTGTAGGAAAAGCCGCAGGTCATCTACCCAGACGTCAAAGTCAATGGCCCGATTCTCAGCGTCAAATGTGAGAACACTGGGGGTAGCCATGACAGCAGTAGACTAGCAGCGCTAACTGTAGAGCAGGGGCAGTGCGGTGACAGAGGCAGTGCGCTCACCAGACAGGGCGGTTCGGGCAGCTCGAGCGGCTCGGCAGCAACTACTGCTCGGCGGCACCCGCGGCTCGGCTCTTCAGCTGCTCAGGCGGCTCGGGCGGCTCGGGTGGCTCGGCTGCGTAGGCGGTTCGGGCGGGGCCGTAGGTAGGGCGGTGGGGCCGGGTCGAAGGTAGGGCGACGGGGCCGGTGCGCAGGTAGGGCGACGGGGCCGGGGCCGGGGCGCAGGTAGGGTGACGGGGCCGGGGCCGGGCCGTAGGTAGGGCGACGGGGCCGGGTCGAAGGTAGGGCTACGAGGCCGGTGCCGGGCCGCAAGTAGGGCGACGGGGCCGGGTCGAAGGTAGGGCGACGGGGCCGGGGCCGGGCCGTAGGGAGGGCGACGGGGTCGGGGTCGGGTCGTAGGTAGGGCGACGGGGCCGGGGCCGGGCCGTAGGTAGGGCGACGGGGCCGGGTCGAAGGTAGGGCGACGCGGCCGGCGCGCAGGTAGGGCGACGGTGCCGGGGCCGGGTCGTAGGTAGGGCGACGGGGCCGGGTCGAAGGTAGGGCAACGGGGCCGGTGCGCAGGTAGGGCGACGGGGCCGGGGCCGGGTCGTAGGTAGTGCGACGGGGCCGGGTCGACGGTAGGGCAACGGGGCCGGTGCGCAGGTAGGGCGACAGGGCCGGGGCCGGGCCGCAAGTAGGGCGACGAGGCCAGGGTCGCAAGGGGGGGCGACGGGGTCGAGGCGCAGGTAGGGCGACGGGGCCGGGGCGCAGGTAGGGCGACGGGGCCGGGGCGCAGGTGGAGCGACGGGGCCGAGGCGCAGGTAGGGCGACGGGGCCGGGGCGTAGGTAGGAAAGGGGAGCGCGACTCGGGCTGCGCGCGCTCCGGGCAGGAAAAAAAAACAAGAGGCGACGAAATCGTCTTAGGGTTGCGAAGCGTTTTGCATAATTACATACCGTAATCCCCCGCATAGTACACCCTAGGGTGTACTGATAAATACCCCCCTTTTGGGGAGTGTACTCTGCGGGGGATTACGGTAAATTTGTAGAACTTACAATTTACATTATGCTGTAGTATGACACGAAGTAGTACTTCTTGTCGCTAGGCAAAGATCAAAAGCATCACACCAGAAGGAATCGACCTGGAAACCTTTCGATTCTACGTTCAATCTTATACGACTACGATAGCGCTAATGTCCTTCAAACAGCTGATTTGAACAGACTGTTACTTTTGCGACGAATCTGAGACCACCTTAGGGTTTGTTCGTCCCTTTTTTCTCCCGCTTCTCCTTCTCGCTGGTCACGCTCTACCAGCTTCTCCACCTACTCTGACTGCAACTTAGGTAAGAAGATCCCTCAGCTCTAGCTCCAACTAAGTTAGATGCCTATTAGATAGAGTAACATTTAGTCAATCCGTATCCTTACTGTGTAAATGGATGAGTATTAGCTAGACTTAGTTGTTTAAACGTAGGTTCTAGGCCCTTTGTAAGATTTCGTTTCTTCCTGCGTAAGCTTGCATCTGTTTCTTCTATTCTTCATCCTTCAACTTTCCTTTCGCCGGTTGCCTTTTCTTCATATTTGCATGTTTTAGTTCTTTTTTTTTTTTCAACCTCGTCTTAGGTTGTACATAAAGATTGTAATAGGTTGCACGTTCAGTCCATTTCGTTCTCTCTCGCTCGTTCTCTCTCTCCCGTTTCTCTCTCTCCCGTTCTCTCTCTCCCGTTCTCTCTGTCGAGAGTAAGTGAACAGGAATGAAAGGTGGGGCCTCACACCCGCCACCCCGGTACCACTCCCCCTGCTCACCCACATCCTCACACCCTCCCCCCCCAGCGGCAGCTGCAGCGGTGGGACTGAAAGAAGGAGGAGGGGAAGGGAGAGAGTTGACCCCACGCTCCAACACCCTCCACCCCCATACCCTCCTCCCCACGGCTGCAGGGAGACAAGAGAAAGGGGGGGGTGGGAAGGAAGAAAGCCGCAGAGCGGCGAAGAGGCGTCGGTGCAGATGGGTCAGGGGCGGCAGCAGGGAGTGCAGGGGCGGAGAGGCCCGTCGCGGGCCAGTGCCACGGGGCGCACGACGGGTAGGATAAAAGGGCCCGATCGTGTGCCTCGGGGCGCACGACGAGCAGGGCACCATCGTGTGCCTCGGGGCACACGATGGGCAGATAAAGGGCACCGTCGCGTGCCACGGGGCGCGCGACGGGCAGGGTAGGAGTCACACGCCCGTGGGCGGGACAAGGTAAAGAATAAAATCGTCACGCGCCCTAGGCGCGCGACCGTAAAATTTTAGCAGCGGAAGTAAAGCGGGCCCACAGGCCAGGACGAACTCAGCTCTGATACCATGTCGAGAGTAAGTGAACAGGAATGAAAGGTGGGGCCTAGGCTTAGTAGCCTAGGCCCTAACTAGGTATCGAGCGGGTTTTCCTTAGGAGCGATGTCGAGTGAGTTGTGAGAGAGAAATTGGAGAATGTGTTTTCACTATAGCATTCGAAGTACATATAGCAAAGGAACACATGAAGAGGTGCACCACCTACAAATTTAATAACTACACTACAGCTAGAACTACATGCAGTTATAATAAATATAATTCTGACACTCTCTCTCCCGTTCTCTCTCGCTCGTTCTCTCTCTCTCCCGTTCTCTCTCTCCCGTTCTCTCTCGCTCGTTCTCTCTCTCCCGTTCTCTCTCTCCCGTTCTCTCTCTATCGTTCTCTCTCTCTCGTTCTCTCTCTCGTTCTCTCTCGTTTTCTTTCTCCATCTCTTTCTCTTGTTCGTTCTCTCTCTCTTGTTCTCTCTCTCTCTCGTTCTCTCGTTCTCCCGCGTTCTCTCGTTTTCTCTCTCTCTCTCTCTCGTTCTCCCTCTCTCTCGTTCTCTCTCTCTCGTTCTCCCTCTCGTGTTCTCTCTCTCTCTCGTTCTCTCTCTCTCTCTCTCTCGTTCTCTTTCTCTCGTTCTCTCTCTCTCTCTCTCACTCGTTCTCTCTCTCGTTCTCTCTCTCTCGTTCTCTCTCTCTCGTTCTCTCTCTTTCGTTCTCTCTTTTTCAGTCATTCCTTTGTTTTCGTCCGTCCTCTTTTCCTATATCGATTCCTACTTGTATCTTGTCTTCCCTTTTGTTTATTTCCACTTCTTTTTGCTGGTTTTTATTCCGCTTTCAGTTTGGTGAATCATACTTATTTCCCTCCTTCCTCCTTTTTTTTCTGTTTACTCCTTCAGTGTGATGCTTCCGTTTTCTGCTTCCTCATTATGCTTCTGTTTTCTGCTGTGTTTGATGTGCAACTTGTCGCACCTTTTTTTGCGACACTAAAATCCCTCCTCATTCGTCCCTTCTGTCCCCCCCCCCTCCCCTTTTTTTTCTATGTTGTACTCCTCAGAGGCTTTGCTGTTTTCTTGAGGCAGTCTAGTCAACTTCTGAAGTGGAAAGATAACAGTGATGACGGTGACCTGTAGGATCGTATTGTATTGGTAAATTTCATTTGCTTCTGTTTTATTGTTTGTAAAGCTTGTGCATTGAGCTTTTGTGTTTGTTTGAATGTGCATGTGTTTGTATGTGTCTGTATGTGTGTGTATGTTCATGTGTGTGCGTGGGTGTTCTCGGTGTATAAATCTCCATATCCATTGCAATAACAATGCATGTCTGTGATTTTTAAAAAGAAAGCTCAGGTCTATCATTTCACATAAGGTTCATTGGCGCACTCAGTGACTCGTGTGCGACCACTTCGAACTGGATTTGATAGAGTTGACTTCTTTTTTAGATTTCACAGATTGTGTTGTTTCATGTGATTGTTGATTATTCAAAATCTATGCTATTGACCTCCCCCCCATGCTAGGCAGGGGATGGCGGTAGCTTAGTTTTTGGGTCGTTAACTGTCACGCATTTTATTGTGTGCATGCATGTGCATCATGATTCATGACATCATACTATTAAACATAATGCATCATATAGCATTATTTATGCATCATGCATCTATTTATCATTACCACAGCACCATTTAATAGTAACACATACTAATATATAACAGTACAGCATATATTTGTCAAACATTATATATGTTATGCTTGTGTAGGCTACAGTGGGTTAGCCTATAGGGGGTACACAATTCTAGGGTTTCCTACATGTACTCATTTCACTGCTAGTTCATTCATTCCTGTTCGCTTATTCTCACATGGTATAGAGCGGGTCCTTCTACGGACCGTTTTTTTTTGGGCCCACCGAAGCGCCCCCCGAGGCGCGATCTTTTTTTTAGCGACCCCTCGGGTCGCCATTTCCCCTGCGGCCCCGCCGCCTTCACTGACGCGGCCCCGCCGCCCTCTCTTACGCGGCTCCGCCGCCTGCTCTCACGCGGCCCCGCCCCGGCTCCTTCGCGGCCCCGCCACCTGCTCTCGCGCGGCCCCGCCCCGGCTTCACGCGGCCCCGCCCCGGCTCCTTCGCGGCCCCGCCGCCTGCTCTCGCGCGGCCCCGCCCCGGCTTCTACGCGGCCCCGCCCCGGCTTTCACGCGGCCCCGCCGACGGCTTTGTCGCGGCCCCGCCCAGGCCCTTACGCGGCTCCGCCGCCTGCTCTCACGCGGCCCCGCCCCTGCTCCTTCGCGGCCCCGCCGCCTGCTCTCGCGCGGCCCCGCCCCGGCTTCTACGCGGCCCCGCCCCGGCTTTCACGCGGCCCCGCCGACGGCTCTGTCGCGGCCCCGCCCAGGCCCTTACGCGGCCCCGCCGCCTGCCCCCGTCGCGGCCCGGTCACCTCCTGACGGCCCCGCCGTCCCTTCGTGACGGCCCCGCCGTCCCTTCCTGACGGCCCCGCCGTCCCCTCCTGACGGCTCCTGCCGTCCCCTTCTACCGGCCCCGCAACTGCACCTGCTGGCCCCGCCGCTGCACCTACCGGCCCCCCACCACCCACCCCCCCCCTTTTCCCGTCGCCCGTCGCGGCTCCTTCGGGGCAGCGGAGGGGTGGCAGGTGTGTGGCCTCCCCTGCTTCTCCTCCTCCTTCATCTCCCCTGCAGCAGCCGAGCCGCCCCACAGCCGAGCCGCCCTGCCGCCGAGTCACCGAGCTACTGAGCTGCAGTTGCTGCTGAGCCGCCTTGCCGCCGAGCCGCCCGAGTCGCCCGAGCCGCCGAGCCGCCGAGCTGCCGAGCCGCTGAGTCGCCGAACCTACTCTTCCCACCACTGGTGAGCTCTTGCCCTGCTAGCACGCTGCGAGTCGCCTGCTTGCCTGCCTGCCTGCCTTTTGGCTTGCCTGGCTGCCTGCCTCCCTGCTGCTAGTCCTGCTCCTGCTTCTACTTGCGGAGCCAAATGCAGCCCCAGCGACGCCGGCGTGAGTCCCTCACGCCGCAGCAGCTGCGTGAGTGGTACGCTGGTTGGGGCTGTAGGGGTGGCGACGCTACTCCTACTACCACTCCTGCTGCTTCTACTCGTGGTGGCGGCCAGATGCAGCTCCCGCGACCCTCTCGCGTGTCTCTCACGCCTCGCCAGCTTCGTGAGTGGTACGCTCAGAGTGGAGGGTCTCTTAGTGCTGTTCGCTGCTCTTACGTGATTCGCACTGGTACTCGGACTGGTCAGCCTTGTGGGACACGTAGTCATACACCGTCCCGCTGCTTCGCCCGTCTGAGCGACGCCTGGCGTACCGTGTTTGGCGACGAGGCTGAGCTTCCCGACTGGGTGGAGTTGCTTAGGCAGAGGGTAGATATATATGCTCTTGACTATGATGCTATTCTCACTGCCATGTATGCATTGCCTACTAGTGCTGACCGTGCAGGTCACCTGTGCGTCCCTCCTGACCCAGGTATAGGACCTGCTGCTCTAGCTACTGGTGAGGCTGCTGCTCTGGGTGCTAGTGAGTCTCCTGCTCCAGGTACAGGTGCGGCTGCTGCTCTAGGTGCTAGTGAGTCTGCTTCCTCAGGTGCGGGTGAGGCTGCGCTCTCAGGTACCGCGTTGGCTTCGGCCTCCCTCACCTTTACACTTGACTCTGGGGCTTCTCGCTCCTTCTTTCGGGACCGCACCACACTCACGCCGCTTGGTCGGCCGGTTGCAGTCTCCCTGGCTGACCCCTCTGGGGGTCCTGTCCTCGCTCACTTCTCCACTGTCCTCCCGTGTCCGGCTGCCCCCTCGGGCACCCTGTCTGGCCTGTACCTCCCCTCGTTCTCGACGAACTTGGTGAGTGGTGCAGACCTACAGGATGCGGGGGTTCACCAGTTCACTCCTGCGAGTCAGCGGGTGACCCACTGCACGGACGCACGCACAGGCCGGCACCTGGCCACGTTCTCGCGTCGGCCGGGGTCGAGCCTCTACACCCTGACCACTGAGTCTCCTCCTGTCCCCGCGTCCGGTCAGGTAGCAGCGTCGGGTCAGGTGTTTGCTGCTGCGTCCAGGTCTGGTCCTGAGTCTGCCCCCTGTACTTGTCGCCTCCTGTCTCACGAGACTCTCCTGTGGCACCACCGTCTTGGCCACCCCTCCTTGCCCCGTCTTCGGAGCATGGCTTCCCGTGTCCTTGTCTCTGGTCTTCCCCAGTCTCTCCCTCCTCTCCCCTCCGGGCCAGGACCTTCCTGTGTCCCCTGTGTCGAGGGTCGCCTCCGGGCTACTCCTCACTCCTCCCACTTCCCCCCGACAGAGGCTCCCCTGCAGACGCTTCACATGGATGTGTGGGGCCCAGCCCCCGTCCGTGGGCAGGATTACGAGCGCTACTTCCTGTTGGTGGTTGACGACTACTCGCGTTACACCACAGTCCTCCCCTTGCGCAGCAAGGGTGAGGTCACTGAGGTGCTGATCGACTGGATCCGCGAGGCTCGTCTCCGGCTCAGGAAGAGCTTCGGCTCGGACTTTCCTGTTCTGCGTCTGCACTCGGACAGAGGCGGAGAGTTCTCCTCTGGCCTTCTGCGTGCCTACTGTCGTGCGCGAGGCATCCGCCAGTCCTTCACGCTTCCGGACTCACCACAGCAAAATGGGATTGCTGAGCGCCGCATTGGCATGGTCATGGATGTCGCTCGTACGTCCATGATGCATGCGGCTGCCCCCCATTTTCTGTGGCCGTTTGCGGTGAGGTACGCGGCGCATCAGCTCAACCTTCACCCCCGGGTCTCTCGGCCTGCGATGTCCCCAGCCTTGCTGTGGACAGGGAAGGTTGGCGATGCGTCTGTGTTCCGTGTCTGGGGATCTCGGGCGTTTGTCCGCGACTTGTCTGCGGACAAGCTGTCCCCTCGTGCTGCTCCCTGTGTCTTCCTTGGCTTCCCCACTGACGCCCCAGGGTGGCAGTTTTACCACCCCTCCTCTCGTCGTGTTCTGTCCTCCCAGGACGTCACGTTCGACGAGTCAGTCCCCTTCTACCGTCTCTTCCCCTACCGCACTCCTTCCCTCCCCCCTCCCCCGGACTTCCTTGTACCGGTTCCCCCCCCGGTAGACCCCCTCCCCCCTCAGGTTCCTGCCCCCTCAGGTGTGTCCCAGGTAGACGCCGTTGACCCGGTCGAGGTTACAGGTGACTCTGGTGCTGCTGCGGGTGCTGAGCCTGGGGGTGCTGACTCTGGGGGTGCTGTGCGCGGGGGTGCTGAGCCTGGGGGTGCTACTGCTGGGGGTACTGGGCCTGCGGGTGCTACTGCGGAGAGTGCGGAGCCTGGGGGTGCTGAGCAGGGGGGTGCTGTGCCTGGAGGTGATGGGTCTGGGGGTGCTGGGTCGGGAGCTGCTGAGCCTGGGGGTGCTGCGTCTGGAGCTGCTGAGCCTGGGGTTTCTCCTGCTGCTGCGTCTCGCCGGGAGCCCCTCTCTCCACAGGAGCTGCGCGAGTGGTTCGCTCGCCGCTGGAGGCGTGCTGCTGAGTCTGGAGGTGCTGCTGGAGCTGGAGCTGGAGCTTCTTCGACCGTCGAGGGTGCGGGTGCTGCCGGTCCCGGAGCTACTGGACCTGCGGGTCCTCCTGGAGCTGGAGCTGCTGAGGGCGTTGGTGCTGAGCCTGCTGCTGTTGGTCCTGCCGCTGGAGGTGTGGGTGGCGCTGGTGCTGTCTCTGAGGGCGCTGGTGCTGTCCCTGCTGCGTCTGGAGCTGCTGAGCCTGGGGTTTCTCCTGCTGCTGCGTCTCGCCGGGAGCCCCTCTCTCCACAGGAGCTGCGCGAGTGGTACGCTCGCCGCTGGAGGCGTGCTGCTGAGTCTGGAGGTGCTGCTGGAGCTGGAGCTGGAGCTTCTTCGACCGTCGAGGGTGCGGGTGCTGCCGGTCCCGGAGCTGCTGGACCTGCGGGTCCTCCTGGAGCTGGAGCTGCTGAGGGCGTTGGTGCTGAGCCTACTGCTGTTGGTCCTGCCGCTGGAGGTGTGGGTGGCGCTGGTGCTGTCGCTGAGGGTGCTGGTGCTGTCCCTGCTGAGTCTGGAGCTGCCGCGCGGCCTCGGCCGTACTTCGTTCCGCTCCTACAGCAGGTTCTTGGTCTTTCTCCTTCGGTAGAGTGTCCACAGCCTGTCCAGTCGCAGTCACTGTTGGAGCCTTCCTCTCCTCTGCCTGCTCCCTCTCCTTACACTGGTCCTACTGGAGGTCTTGCTGAGCGTCGTGAGCCTGCGTCTCGTCCCGCGTCGCCTGTTCGTGCTGCTCGCGCTAGTGGTCGCGGTTCGCGTCAGCGTCCTCCTCCTGTCCCTGGCACGCACCGGATGTCTCTGCGTCCGTCCACTGCTCCTCTGCGTGCCCCTTTGCCTTCGCCTCCTGAGTCCTCTCTTCCTGCGCTTGCCGACCCTGAGTCGGACTCTCTTCGCGCTGCCAGTCCTACTGTCACGCGTCTGCTTGCTACTGTCGTCACTGACCCCTCTTTTGAGTCCACTGCTGCGTCTGCTCTAGTCGCTGAGCTCGTTGACTTTGCTGCTCGCTGTCGTCTCGACTACGCTGCTGGTCTTGTTGCTGAGTCTGCGTCTGTCTGTCCTCCGTCCGTCGGGGGTGAGTGTGCTCTTGGCACGGACGTCCTAGAGGACAGACAGGAGGAGTTACAGTGTCTAGCGGCTGCTTCACCTCATCTCGCGTCTGTACTGCTTGCCCCTGAGGGAGACCCGGATGCACTAGACATCCCGACTCCGCGTTCTTACGCGGAGGCCGTAGAGGGTCCCTACTCCTCTCAGTGGCAGGCAGCTATGGATGCAGAGATGGCTTCCTGGAAGTCCACAGGCACCTACGTTGACGCAGTTCCCCCTCCTGGGGCGAACATCGTCAGTGGCATGTGGATCTTCCGGGTGAAGCGGCCGCCGGGCTCTCCACCTGTCTTCAAGGCGCGGTACGTTGCTCGTGGCTTCAGTCAGCGGCAGGGAGTTGACTACTTTCAGACCTTCTCTCCCACCCCGAAGATGACCACTCTTCGGGTGCTGCTGCACATAGCCGCTCAGCGCGACTACGAGCTTCACTCTCTCGACTTCAGCACTGCGTTCCTGCAGGGTAGCCTGCACGAGGAGATCTGGCTGCGCCGTCCACCTGGCTTCACTGGGACTTTCCCTCCTGGCACCCAGTGGAGCCTCCGACGGCCAGTCTACGGTCTCCGCCAGGCACCGCGTGAGTGGCACGACACACTGAGGACTACGCTTGCGGCTCTTGGGTTTGCTCCTTCTACTGCTGACCCGTCGCTGTTTCTGCGCACCGACACTTCACTGCCGCCGTTCTACATCCTCGTGTACGTCGACGACTTGGTCTTTGCCACAGCGGACACTGCTGGACTCGCCTACGTGAAGTCCGAACTGCTGAAGAGACACACGTGCACAGACCTGGGTGAACTGCGCAGCTACCTTGGCTTGCAGATCACTCGGGACAGAGCACGCCGCACCATTACCTTGACTCAGTCACACATGGTGCAGCAGGTCCTTCAGCGCTTCGGCTTCACGTACTCCTCGCCTCAGGCCACTCCTCTGCCTACTCGCCACTCACTCTCAGCTCTGCCTTCGGATGAGTCCGTAGAGTCGAGTGGTCCGTATGCAGAGCTTGTTGGCTGCCTCATGTACCTGATGACCTGCACACGACCTGACCTTGCATATCCTCTGAGCATTCTTGCACGCTATGTTGCTCCTGGGAGACACAGACCAGAGCACATGGCTGCAGCGAAGAGGGTATTGCGCTACGTGTGCAGTACGTCGGGCATGGGGCTTGTGCTTGGAGGGCGGAGTCCAGTGGTCCTTACCGGCCACGCGGACGCTTCTTGGGCTGACGACCAGGCTACGCAGCGGTCGTCACAGGGTTACACCTTCAGCCTTGGTTCCGGCTCTGTCTCGTGGCGGTCTACTCGCTCGTCTTCGGTTCTCGGCTCCAGTTGTGAGGCTGAGATCTACGCCGGGGCCATGGCTGCACAGGAGCTTCGCTGGCTCACCTACCTGCTGACTGACCTTGGAGAGCCGCCTTGTTCTCCTCCAGTGCTGTACGTAGACAACAAGGCCATGCTGGCCTTGTGTCGAGAGCAGCGCTTGGAGCACAGAACGAAGCACATTGCTCTCCGCTACTTCCTTGCTCGTGAGCTGCAGCAGCGTGGTCAGTTGCGACTTGCGTACGTGGCCTCTGAGGCCAACACTGCTGATGTGTTCACCAAGGCACTCGCGCCTTGTGACCATCAGCGCTTTTGCACCCAGCTGGGTCTTGTGCCTGTCTTGCCTCACTTGCTCTCCTCTTGACTTCACTTGTACTGTGACATATATATATACCTGCTCTTGCTTGTCTAGTTTTATATATATGTCTGTACTCCTGCATGTGAACTGGCCTCTGGCCCTGCTCTTGTGCTCGGACTGTGTGGTGACTTTGTGATCCACCCTGAGCTTGCTTTGCTTTGCTTGACTGGTCTTGTGACCCCTTGTTCTCCCCCACTTTGCCTATGGGGGTGTGTCAAACATTATATATGTTATGCTTGTGTAGGCTACAGTGGGTTAGCCTATAGGGGGTACACAATTCTAGGGTTTCCTACTTGTACTCATTTCACTGCTAGTTCATTCATTCCTGTTCGCTTATTCTCACAATATTCACCAAACCACTGACCAGAAAAACATATGGTTTAATATATTGTGAACAACATTTAAAATTCTTCAACATGCACACGGTGTGGGAAGGGTACTGTAGTTTACGGATTTTATTTTCATGTTCTATTAAAAATGATAAACATGAAAATAAAATCTGGCAAAATCGATCGTAAAGGGTTGCTTCGCAACCCAAAAAATCGAGTTGGTGGGCCCTAGGCACAGTTCCCACAAGGGAACCTGTTCGATACCATGAGAAGATTGAAACGAGGATGAATGAACTATGAATGAACTGAGTACAAATACTAACCCTAATTGGGTTGTACCCCTTATGGGCTACCCCACTATAGCCTACACAATGAGCACAAGCTATATATTCTGACAGTCTTAGGGGGGGTCCAGTTCGTACATTTGCTGTTCGTAAACTCCCTCAGTTACCACATTTTTTGTGGTAACCCTTTATTGAACGTGTCCTGCGGACACAATCAGCTTCTGTTCGCATGACGGCACGCCCCATGCACGTACCTAGAGTCGTCTGACTCACGTTACTGGAATCAGGAGGGACGCGAACAAGGTTACAGCACCGCGTCCTGGCTACTACAGTTCGTTTCCCCTGTATCGCTTGCACGATTTCGTCAGTGGTTCGCTTTACTCGCCAGCGCCCCCTGCGCCCGCACAAAAATTTTCAAGCTATGATTGACGAGGGAAACTGTTACCTCGTTTTCAACGTGGTCAGAGCACTGTTGATTCGTGTGGCGGGGAATGTGTCTGCGCTTCTGAAATTACAGGATGGTTCGACTCCACTCACAATGCATTCGTTTCTAGGTACGGTAGTCATTTTTGAACCTCGATACGTGCGTTGGCACGAAAAATCCCGAAATGAACGAACTGGACACGCCCTTACGGGACAGTTGAATAGCGTAGGTTTTTAAGCACCTTTGCACATGAGGTTGGTTTATTTGCCATTTTCGATTTGCTTTGTTCATCTCTGTATCTGATTAGGGCGTGGAACATTGCAACGAACTTTGTGAATGTTCGTACACATGCGCGGGCTGGACGATTTGCGAAGAATTTAGGGTAACGCCTAAAGATTCTCTCAAATGGTACTCACCCTATCTTGACTTCAGTTCAAGGGTAAAACAAAACGTTCCTCGACCTTGAAGTTTCCATCTCAGACTCATCCCCAGTAGGGTCCAATGTTTGGCGTTTCCCACTGCACTCGCAAAACACTATTGTCTCACCCGGCTCTCTGTGCTACATGGCTACACTCAAAAGAGGAAAGGTTAGTCGAGGATTTTTTCTAGGTTTATGGATGTAGCTTTTTTAGAACCCCTTCGGGCTGGCGAAAGACCAGCCCGAAACGTGTGGCGGGACTCGCGTATGCGTTACTAGAGTTCGCAAATCGTCCAACCAGCACATTTGTTCGAACACCAGCCATGTTCGTTACAATGTTCCACGTGTCCAGCTCGTACGTTTTCAGTTCAATTTGTGCGGTTGACCGCTTTGCGTCACGGTAAACAAAGGTGAAAATCCAAAATCGCTTTGCACCTTCTGATATTGTTTTGCACCACGGTAAATGAACTGTATATGAACAGAAAACGTACGAGCTGGACACGCCCTTACGATCAATATACAACCTTCAACCTAACACCATCCACCTCCCACCTCCGCACGACAGCAGCACCTCCGCACCCACACACGACCAGCTATGCCATGTGGTGCATGCACTAGGCTCATCACAACGGCGACCACAACAGCCGGAGTCAACGAATGAAGCGGCGCAGGCGTAATTATAACGAGGAAAGAGAATCTGCATTGCCACGAGTGACGCTCCGCGGTTACGCGTCGCACGAATCGCCTCGCGATACAACAAGCGCTCAGCCGCGTCGAAGTCAGCACGTCAGCGTCAGTGGCGCGCCAGCATGCGAGAACGAGGCGTGGCGAGGGCAAGCGGCAGGCAACCAGGCCGCCCGTCGCTCGCCGTGCGTCCATTCCCCCGCGCGCTCGCCCAGGACTCGCCGAGCCCAGCAGGCCCAGCTGCAACCGGGGCAGCGGGTTCGTGACGACTACGGCGCTGCCGCCACGGAAGCGCGCGCGGACATCGACGTGGTGGGTGGCGCGGAGCCCATTGGCAGCAGGGGCGACTGCGGTTGCGACTCGGAGGCCGCGCGTCGACGCGCGGACGGGCAGGCGCCGCACCCTGACGCGGCGCGTCGCGGCGCGTGCGCGTGTCGCTTCTGCAGCTGGCGGTTCGACTCAGACGACGAGTCGGACTGCGATCGCCCCTGCTCCGCTCAGGACTCGCCGCGCTTCCGCCCGCAACCCGTGCAGTGCGGGTGGCAGGGGGCTGCGGAAACAGTCGTCCGGGGAACGGCGCTGGGGGGAGCAGAGCTGGGGGGAACGGCGCTGGGGGGGAAGACGGGTGGCGGAGGGAGGGCGGAGGGCGAAGGGGCAGGTGGGGGATGTGGGGACGAAGAGGGGCTATGGATGGGCGGAAGGGGAACTTACCCTGCGGGACGATTCGTGGGGAGCGATGGGGAGTGTGTGGTGCTGGCAGGTTGGGATGGGTGCTGCGTGCTGCTGGACTCGAGCACTCTGCAGGTACTGGGCGGGCGGGTGGTAACAAGGGGCGTGGGCGGAAAGGCGGGGGGGCAGGGAGGTTGTAGATGTGGAATGGCAATGCAGTGCAGTGCAATGCACGTGAGGCAGTACCACCACCACACCACACCACGTTGCTTCCTGGAACACCCCACTTTCATCCCCCTCTCTCTCCCTCTCTCTCATCTGTCCACTCTCCTCTCATTCTCCGTTCTCTCTCTCATGCCCCCCCACAACCCACGTCACCACCAACAGCAGCGAGCATTGTTCCGGCCACCACCAGGGATGCAGCTAGCAGAGCCAGCAGCATGCCACGTGGTGGCGGCACCATCACACGATGGGCTCACAGCGCGTCTGCTGCTCGCCACGTCGCGCTCGCACGCCGCCTTCTGCTGCTGGGACCTCCTCTCCTCCCTCCTCGTCTCCTGCTTCCCCCCTCCCAACCCCACCGCCTCGCCCTCGCCCTCACCTGCGCCCTCGCCTGCGCCCTCGCCTGCGCCCTCCCCTGCGCCCTCCCCTGAGCCCTCCCCTGCGCCCTCCCCTGCGCCCTCCCCTGCGCCCTCCCCTGTGCCCTCCCCTGCGCCCTCCCCTGCGCCCTCCCCTGCGCCCTCCCCTGCGCCCTCCCCTGCGCCCTCGCCTGTGCGCTCACCGGGCTCCTCGCCCATGAATAGTCGCGTTCCCTGTGACACACGCACTCGCACTGCTGCCGCTGCTGCACTGGCCCATGGTGCTGCTGCCGCCCCTGCCACTTCCATCCACATGCGTGGAGAACCCTTGGCACCACTCCCCCCAGCAGCACCACCACCAGCACCCACTGCTATGGCCGCAAACTGCTCCCCACTGTCCTCTCGTTGCCCCTCCTCCCACCCCTCGCCTGTGTACCACACGCCATTCACCTGCTGCCCCTCGTCCTCCCCCCGTCAGCCACCGCCGCACCACTCACCCTGCCACAGCCACTCGCCACCTCATGCCACGTCACCATCGCCCCACGCACCCCTCCCCACTGTCCCCCCCGTCCTTCCTGCCTCCCCTGCCCCCGCCGCTTTCCCTACTGCTGCTGCGCCTAAGCCAGCAGGCACACAAGGAGCGGCCTCAGCAACCGCAACAGCAGAGGGGGCAGTGCTCGCACCCCAAGCGAGGCCCTCGGCCATGCCGTCACCACCCTCCCCTGCCCCGTCTCCTCTCCCCAGCGCGCTAGCAGCGGTGCCTCGTACAGATGTAACAGGTCACTGGTGTAGCAGGATGGCGTCAGGGCATGGCGCACTGCACATGGCATGCAGCTCGGCACTCGCAGGCAGTGCAGTGGGGCGGGGCAGCACGGGGTGTGCAGGTGCAAGCGAGCATGCGGGGAGGTGCGCAGCAGAGGAGGGCAGTGTTGAGTTGCACCACTCACGCGCGGCACACCTCTGCTGCCCACCCCAACCTGCACGCATGCACCACCGCCTCGCACCGCAGCACACCGCTGCTCCACCGGGTGGTAAAGTGCCGCTGACTCCACCTGCCTCTGAAACCCCCTCCCTCACTCCGCCAACCCCCCAACCCGCCTCCCTCCCCACCCCATCCCCGCACCCGTCCCCACTCCCATCGCCGCCAAACCTGCCCGCCCACCCTCCGCCGCCCGCACCGCCATCCTGGAAGCACCTCGCGCCGCCCGAATGGCACGCAGCCCCATACGGTGCATCGCTGGCGATGGTGCAGGCGGGCGGCAGCGACGTGCGCATCTGGGACGTGCGGGACGGGGGCGTGGCGGTGAGCATGCAGACGGAGGGCGCGGTGGAGCGCATGGCGAGCTGCTCTCCTATTCTGTGGCTGGACGAGGAGCGCCTCGTCGTCGTGGAGGAGGGCGGCAGCGTGGGGCTGTGGCACGTGGCGGGTGGCGAGGCAGTGCTGTTCCACCACGTGCAGCTGCTGGACCCGTGGGGCGAGGCTGAGCGCGTGTGCGCCGTTGCTGTCATGCCGGGGCGGCGCTGCAACAAGCGCCTCTTCTCCTCGCTGTCAGTGCTGCTGCCTGAGCTCATTGCACTGTGCCTACTGCATCCATCGCTGCGTCATTCGCTCAACCCCTTTTTTCCTTCTTCTCACTGTGTGCGCCCGCTGATGTCCGGCTCCCCCTGCTGCCCTGCTCTCCCGTGGACCACGGTGTGGTAACATGACCCCATGGCACGGCATGGCAGGAGGGGCGAGGGAGTGACATGTGCAGTAGCAAGCGAGAGCGCGGTGTACCTGGCGGACTGGAGCACCCCGGCTGTCATCCTCCACCGCATCGCCTCCTCCCACGCCCGCCCGCCAGGTCAACCCTTCTTCTCCCCTCGCCTTGCCTCGCATGCTGCATGTGCATGGATGGTGCATGCGCATGGATGGTGCATGCGCATGGATGGTACATGTGCATGTATGCTGCACATGCTTACTAGCAGCTTGTGGTGCTCGACCTTTGCCATTCTCCATCCTCCCCCCACCACCCCACTCATCTGCGCCCCCCACTCATCTGCGCCCCCCACTCATCCCCGCCCCCCACTCATTCCCCATCTGCCCACCCCCCCACCCTCCACCACCACTCCCAGACGCCATGTGTTTCGCGGGCACGTCTCTCTTTGTGGCGCTGCCCTCGCTGCCGCATGAAGACTTTGCCGCCGTGCAGGTGAGTGCACGTGGGTCAGAAGATGAGAGCACATGGGCCAACTCCTTCCGCCACTGCAATCAGCGTTTCATCTCCCTGCCTCCTCTCCATCATCCAACTGCCACTCTCTCAGGTCCCCACCCGACCCTCCCTCCCACCCCCTGTCCGCACGGCCCTACAGCGCATAGAGTGCATCAGCGGGCGGGAGGGTGAGCGGTACCACCTGGACTCGCACGTGCCGCGCGCCAGCAGAGGGCCGCTGCTCGCCGTGCGCGTGCACGCCGGGCGGCTGTTTGCACTGCATGCGGGCGGCGTGCACGTGTTCCGCCTGCACCGGGCGGCGCAGCGGGGCGGAGGAGCGGGGGCAGGCAGGGGTGCGGGCGGGGATGGGGGGTATGAGGTGCGGGGGCGGGGTTACCTGCAGCAAAGGGCAGGGCAGGGGAGGAGAGGTAGAGACAGATGTGGGAGTGCAATGGCGGGCATGGCAGCAGCGACCACGCAAGCCCCTGTGCAGAGAGCGGTTGAGTGCGGTGCGACGGTGACGGGAAGAGAGAGCGGAGGGGCAGAGAAAGAAGCAGCGGTGGTGCTCCGTCCCCAGGCATGGCACAGTGGTGCTGCTGAGGGGTCTGAGGGCTCACCCGGCAATGAGGGGCAGCAGGGAAGAGAGAGCGGTTATGGAAGGGAGGAGGGGTATGAAACAGAGGAGGGTGTGGATGGGCAGGAGGGTGAAGGGGGGCAGGATGGCATTGCGAGGGCCGTGGAGTGTGACAGCGGTGGTGGTGGAGATGGTGGTGGAGTGGGCAGTGGGGGGAGCGAGGGGGTGGAGGAGCGGAGGCTGGTGGGGGTGGTGGGCAGGCGGGTGAATGGGCTGCTGCACCCGGCCATGGATGTGGTTGGGGATAGGCTGCTGCTCGTCTCTGCTAACCACCCGCCATGTCTGTATTCATGTCCCTGATTGTTTATTGTATTTATTATTTCCGATCACAAGCACACCCCAAATTTCAAACAAAACCAAGGTGACATGGGACTGAGGGGAATGGTGCGGTCTCAATAGAAACACATGTGCAGTACGATTTTGCCCTAAGAATGTCCACGTTCAAGCCCAGGAACGAAGCCCATTCTGGTGGCTCCCCTTATCCCCATAAACATTCTTATCTTATCCAGGAATTTTGCTTGATTGTAGAACCTGGCACGTGGCCATATGGGAATTCCCTCCCATCCCATGCCTCACTTTTTGTGTCAAGTACATGATGTGTATGCAATCATTCTGTTGAACCGTTTCACACCACTCATTGTGCATGCATCAGCAAGCAACCCTTTGGAGGCAACAAAATCAATCTCGGTATCCCTAGCAAGCAACAGAGAACCAACCACCCCAACATGATCCCCTTTAAGCTACCCGGCGGTACATGGTCCTTTCATCATCCAGCTCCAGCCCATACATGCTGTACACGCCACGAGGCTGCACCATGTCTTCACTGTCAAGCAGGTACATGCAATCCCTCACTCCCAGGTAGCGCAGCATCCTCAGCTCCATCACATCATGCGGCAGGGCTTCCAAATGCTCACAGCCATTCACACTCAGTCGCCTCAGCCTGGCCAGCCTAGCGAATCCGGAAGGGAGGGAGAGAATGCCGGTGTATGAAGCATCTAGCTCCTGGAGGCATGTGAGGTGGGTGAGGGAAGCAGGCAGCTGCTGCAAGGCCCTGCATCTGGTCTGCAAGGCCCTGCATCTGGTCTGCAAGGCCCTGCATCTGGTCTGCAAGGCCCTGCATCTGGTCTGCAAGGCCCTGCATCTGGTCTGCAAGGCCCTGCATCTGGTCTGCAAGGCCCTGCATCTGGTCTGCAAGGCCCTGCATCTGGTCTGCAAGGCCCTGCATCTGGTCTGCAAGGCCCTGCATCTGGTCTGGACACGTCCAGCTTGCACAGCCGAGTCAACGCACCGATGCCACCAGGGAGACACACTAGCCTACATCGTATAACCTCCAACGACGTCAAACACTGCAGCTCACACACGCTTGCCGGAAGCTCTTTCAAAGACAACTGCTCAACTTTCAGCCTCCTCAGCCGCAGCACAGACAATCCAATGCATTCGGGAAGCCTCGTAAGATCCGCATAATCGTAGGGAAAGAAATTGGGAGATCCCAAAAGGAGGAGGGTGTGGAGATGTGGGAGGACTGGAAAGGGTGAGGGGAGATCCTCAGCATGCTCCGCTGGTACCAACTGGAGTCGCCTCAGCCGAGATGCTCCCATGTCAACCGCCAGGCTGCTTCCAGCACCAACATTCCTGAGCTTGAGATTCCTCAGGTGTGGCATTCTGGGCATGTCGAAGCAAGGAGCATGCTGGTTGTAACTCGGCATGGTTAAGATCTCCAGAGAAGGGGGGAGGGATGCAGGAGGTTCAGCCAGCCTTCTGTTCAAACCGTCAATCAGCTCCAGCCGCTTCAGTCTCGTGAGAGCATCCAACCTTGGAATTGAAGAGAGCTGTTCACAACCATCAATCCTTAGGATCTCCAACGCAGTGAGGCGGGAGAAGGAGTCTGGAAGTGCCGTAAGATGAAAGCAGGAACACATGTGCAGGTGCTGCAGGTTACTCAGCATCCCTATGTCCTCAGGAAGCTCTGTAAACTGAAAGTGCTTGAGCTCAAGCCTTGTCAGGGCAGAGAGTTGCGTCAGAGAAGATGGGAGCAGCCGCTGCGCCTCGCAATTACCTTCCAGAAGAAGCGTTTTCAGGTTACTGAGCCTTCCAATGTCGTCTGGATACATCAACACCTGCGACTGCCCAAGGTACAGTGTCTCCAGTGCAGTAAGGCAGCTGAATTCGTCTGGTAGCTGGTGGATCCGTTGGCAATAGAGGAGCGAGAAGAATTTCAGCGAGGTGAGCTGGCAGAGCGAGTCAGGGAGGTCTGTGAGCAGCAACAAGTGTAGCTCCAAGTGCTTGAGAGCCGGAAACGCTCCCAAGTTGCTTGGAAGCCTGGAAAACACATCGCACCAAGAGATGCGCACTTTCTCTAGCCGTCTGAGGGAGGCCAACTCATCTGGCAGCTCGGTCAAGCGATTGCAGAAGGTCAGCTCCAACTCCCGCAGACACCGCATCAACTCTCCAATGTTAGAGCGGAAACGCTCGATACTATTAGGGGAGCCAATTTCCAGCCGTTGGAGGTTGGTGCCTAGATTGATCGAAGAGAACAAGTGGTAGAATGCCTTGCCGTGGCCATTGACTTCCAATGACCTCAGACTGCGTAGCTTAAGCGATGGGTAAGAAGTAGGGGCGACATCAGGCTGAGACCGAACGTTCTGACGAGATATTGTAAGACTAATAAGGTTTGAGAGATGACGGAGGCCTAAGAACTGCTCAGGACTGAGGTTCGGGGAGGCTATGTGGAGAGTGGAGAGCGAACTGAGATTGGCTAAACCGGGAGCCTCTAGTGCAGATGCGGTCGTGAAGAGGAGGGTGCGCAGATGAGTGAGTTGGAAGAAGGAAGGTGGCATGTTGACATCTTTGTGCAGGCAGAAGAGAGAAAACTGATCCAGTCGTGGACATTGGGTAAAGAACCGATCTAAACCGGCTTCAGTTATTGTATGCGAATTCCCTGGGTGGTTGCTCTCGTCATCATAGTAGTATAGGTTGATCTTGCTTCCCACGTGAAGAACCCTGAGCTTAGGGCAGGCGGAGGCGAGGTGGGTGAGGAAGGCGTCGTCTACCATCTCCACGCTGCCGTCGTTCAAGTGAAGGTGGGTCAGGTTCGGAAAGCGAGTGATGGCGTTTGCGAGATCTTCGCGGGAAACAAGTAGATCCTTTCGGACAGAAAGGCTGGTAACGTGTCGCCGAGCGAGATCGCGCCAGTCACGGCAAACAGAAGCTACAAGGAGATTCCAGGCGGTGCCTGCAGAAGCAGGAGGCGCGGGTATGGGAGTGATGCTGTTCTCAGGTGATCCAACATAACGACTTGGCTCCGGACTCAAGCACTCATAAGCGTCATCCTCAAAATCGTCAGTTATGGGCTGGTGAGTCGGAAGAGAGCTTATATGCGTGCGCTTCATACTGCGAGATCGAGCAGTTGGTACTAATCTGGACGCTGATTTCTAAAGATCAACGGGAAGTACGGGCTCGCGTTTCAAGAAGAGATGAAGATCGAGAGGTACTTATTTCGACTACTGTACTCCCAACATTCACACTTCCAACTATGAGCCTCGCTACCTGATTCATTTAGTCTGCTTGTCTTGGGTTTCTAGCTGCGATCCTAGGTTGTAGATCTACAAGAGTGGCGCTCGCTGGATCTGCCAAGGTGAATTTCGTGACGGGTCTGACGAAAATATCAGCGCGGTTACCATACGCAAGCTGATAACGCGAAATCGTGAAACACATTTCGCTAGCGGGGGACGAAAATTTCATGTTTGACTGCTAGCAAGTTCCCAACATGTTCTGCTTAGTGAAACGAGCCCTGGGCCTCGAAGACCTTGAGCGAAAATACGGATTGGCACACAAAGCGGTAACCCTAGCGAGCGGCATCCCCAGAAAGTTGGAAGCCTCTCCCTCAGCCCATGTTCGAGAACCGTCAGACAGTTAGGACGTGTGTGAAACAAAGGTTTATGAAAGTTCACGTTTTTACTCGATTTAAGCAGGGTTTTATAACCTGAACTTGAATCGATTTTGAGATGTGGCAAGGTTCGCACCGCGAGTGCAAATTCTTGTATACTCACAATCACACACCAAGGTGCGAATTTGCAAGTTCGAATTTACAGAGGGGGAACCGAGCCGCAATTGGAGACTGTAGGTTACCCGGTTTCAAGCACACCACAGCGCGACACGTCACCGGAGCGCTGCTAAAAAAAGTGAGCCCTAGACCTCCAGCTCAACTTCACATCTGTGGCTGTTGTGCACGATACAAATATCGGCGAGATGAACCAATTTCCAAGTCAGCATCTCACAATGACTCTCATTCAGCTCGTGCGTTTCCTGGGGATTGTGCTTCAAGGCTACCTGCGATGCCTCGTACTTCCAATGCTCACTGCCATCGTGGCACGAATTGTGCCACGTGGTGGCCATAGCGAGTTCAGCAATGCGCTGTGTCTTGGTTGTGATCTCATTGGCGCACGAATGAGTCGCGAGGTTCGCTGAAACCTCGTACGTGCCTGACACCACACACGTTTGGATCTTTGTGTTTGTGCAAGTTCACGAATTTTTCTGTATCAAGTTCACAAATGAGGGTTCGCACTTCCCAAACGGGGAATTTGTTTCGACTTCGGCGAGGCGGTTAGCGAACATTGGCGAAAAGGGTAACCACCAAAAGTTCGACCCTGATTACGAACTCCATAAAAAATCTCACACGTCCTTAGGGGGAAGAAATTGCTCTTGCCAGAAAGCTTCACATCTCTTCACTGAGAGCTGCGCTTGAGAGCGTCTGGAGGAGTCTCGCGAGCTGCATGTGGAACTGACTACGAGCAACCGACGTGGTCAAGCCACGTGTAGACTCGGATGCTGCTGAAAGCACGGGTCCAGCTGAAATCGCGTTTTATTAGCCGCGGCGCACGCATTCTGAGCGACCCAGCGTTGTTTCAGGTGAGCGGGAGGATTTACATTCGCAACAACGGCTGCTCCTAGCTTGGTCTGTCTTAAGTCATAAAGAACACACGAAACTGATCTTAAGTGCCCTTCGACACTATCGTATGCTCGTGGAAGCCGTGGTATACAAGCATACTCGCATCTCAGGCATTTGGCTTTCTCAAGGTTGTGTTGAGCTTCACTTGAGCAGCCAGTCCGTGCGTACGACTGTCAGCATGGCGTCCAGTGGAACCCACATCCACGATCTCCCCGACGACGTGCTTATCAGGATCTTATGGCCTTCCGAACAGTTGATCTCGTGCAGATCTAATAGCAATGACCTGCGGAGCACAGTGGGGCACAGGCCCACGTACCTCGTCGCGGACGCTACTTCAGAAGAGGCCTGGCGTATGCGAGGGGATACTTCCGTGCCGACCGCCTCCGCAGATGCCTGCCTCTTCATTGCGTCCATCTGTCGGCGCTGGCGGGATCTCGCTAAGAGGCACGTCTCGTCGCTGCTGGTGAAGGAGGGCCGCGCCGTGTCTCACCGCGATGTGCTCAACGCCGTCGCTTTCTTTCCCCGGCTGACCCATCTGCACCTGGCGGATTTGAGCGTTGAATCGCTGGACGACGCGTTTCTAGCTGACCTCGCCTCTTCGTGCCCTTGGTTGAGAGCGCTGCACGTGGGGATGCTAGCGGTGAATGGGGGACCGCATGGAAGCAATGAGCGCGTGATCACCGAATCTGGCTTGGATCATTTCTTCCGCCAGTGCGCTCAACTGGAGCATCTGTCGCTGTACTCATCCCGTGTGTCCACTCTGCCCGAGAGCTTTGGGGATCTTCCAGCTTTGAAGGCGCTGGTGCTGCGCCAGCTGCCACTGCTCCGTCTCCCTGCTTCCTTCACCCGACTCGCATCTCTGGAGTCGTTGCTTCTCGTTGGGTGCAAGGAGCTGCTGGAGCTACCTGCAGGGTTTTGCTGCCTCACAGCACTCCAGACTCTGAGCCTGGCATGTTCGCCCACCCTGCACCTTCCAGAAGACTTGGGTGCCCTGACCAATCTGCGAACCTTTGATCTTCAGGATAACAGACAAGAGCAGCTGCCGTCCTCATTCACGCAGCTGGTGTCGCTGACCCGGTTGGAGCTGGACGGGTGCGAGATTGCAGAGTTTCCAGAGGGCATGGTGGAGATGACAAACCTGCATGGCTTTACTTCTGGAACTGCTTTTGAGTCGACTCAAAACCTGCAGGGCTTTACTTCTGCAACTGCTCTTTTAGGGAGCTTCCAGAGCTTGTGACGGCGCTCGTCAGCCTTGAAGTACCGAGGATTGAAGCGTGTCCCAATCTCTCTTCCATTCCCACGAGGCTGGACAGCCTTAACAAGCTGACGCAGTTGCGGGTGAGGGGCTGTTGCGAGCTGAACGAAGCCCCTCGGGCTCTGCCGCTCAGTCTCCAAGCCTTGTCATTCAGTAACAATGAGGAGGTAGCGTCTATGCTAGACATTTCAGCACTCACAGGGCTGAGGGAACTGTGCTTGGCCTTTGTGTATGCAACTCGTCTTGAGGCCATCAGTGCCCATCTCCCTAACATGGAGCACCTGGAACTGGTGCTGGAAGAAGAAGCAGAGAAGTCTCTGTCCCTGCTGGCAAGGCTTCCCCACCTCCGCACCTTGATGCTCACGGAGGTCGGCAGTGTGAGCAATCTGGTGGAACCTGGTGGCTCGGCATTGCAGGAGCTGCAGCAGCTGAACATCTACACTAGGTCTGAGAGATTCACAGAGCTGCCTGACGCCATCACCACTCTCCACCACCTCACATCCCTTCAGATCCACGCACCGAAGTTATCATCTCTCCCGTACGCCTTTGGGGCATTGTTAAGGCTGCGCAAGCTGGACTTATCCTTCTGCTCTTCGCTCGCGCATTTCCCTGATTCCCTCACACAGCTCTCTTGCCTGCATGAGTTGAACCTCTGCGACGCCAGCATCCGCCTGCTTCCTGCTGGCTTTGCTAACCTCAGCAGACTCAAGAAGCTTGATCTGGATCAATGCGAGCAGCTGGAGGCTCTGCCGGGCGACTTATGTGATCTTAGAATGCTTGATGACTTGAACACTAGGAGGTGTGTTATGCTCCAACGCTGAAGGTGCTTTTCACCTCTCATATGTTAGGTCCGTAGTTAGTGTGAGTACATGCCAGCACACTGAGGCTCCACTACAATCTAGTTTGAAGTGGTTTAAAAACTTTTCCTTTGAATTCTGCGTACAAGTCAGTGAACTACTTTCCAGGTAGTGAACTACTAGATGCTATGGGTAACAGTGACAGGGAAGTGGAAAGCAGAGAAATCTCCATACATGCATTCATCTCATCGCACAAGTCGTACAAGGAAGGGGACACAAGTGGAGGGCGCAGGGGGGAGGTGGAAAGATGTTGCGTGAAGAGAGGGTGAGGAGAAACGGGAGGATGAAGGGAGTGGGGGAAGAGGGCAGGAGGGAGGGGAGAATGGAAGCTGGGCTGTAAAATACTTTTTTTGGCTTCGTGTAATGGCCACGTCTTATCAATATTCAAGTAGGTTAAACTGCAGATAATGGTAGATCAGGTTATGCATTGCCATCTCATGTGCTGGCATGTGCATGTGCTGGCAATTGAAGTAGTGGCGACATTATGTTCCCTTTCCCCTCTACCCTCCTGCCACTCCGTTTTTGTACCGATTTTCTCTCTCTGAACAACCTTCCCATATTCCCGCCCCCACCTTGGTTTTCGTCACCTGCCTCCTCATCGTGCAGCATTGCCTGCACGCTGTGCCCTTCCAGCTGAAGCCACCTCACTCGGCTCACAGTCCTGGTTTGCCACATGCAGACCTTGTCAAATGTTCATGCTAAAGCCCATCCATGCATGACCATGCAATGCAACTCATCATCATCCTTGCATGGCTATCACAATTCCACGATTTCCGTGGCCATGGTACAAGTTCATGCATGGTCACGTGCATGCGTGCATGCACCACATCATACATACACATCATCAAGCACACTCAATTGGCGGTGCGCTGGACGACTTTGGCATGTCTCCTTACATCACAGGTGAAGGTGATGATGCTCCCATACTCCCGTCTTCTCTCATCCCCACCACTCCTCTCATAACCTCCCACTCCTCCCATACCCCCACTCCTCTCACACCCCCACTCCCACTCCTCTCGTTACATCCTCATCATACTACTCTTTTGCACGATCCCCTGTCTATCCCCACACCCTCTCCCTCCCCCACTTCTCCCGCTCCCTCTACCCCTCCACCCCAGCACAGACGGCCGTCCCTTGGTACCAAGCAAGGCACTGACTGGCAAGCAAGGCACTGACTGGCAAGCAAGGCACTGACTGCCAAGCAAGGCGCTGACTGCCAAGCAGGGCACTGACTGCCAAGCAAGGCACTGACTGGCAAGCAAGGCACTGACTGGCAAGCAAGGCACTGACTGCCAAGCAGGGCACTGACTGGCAAGCAAGGCACTGACTGGCAAGCAAGGCACTGACTGCCAAGCAGGGCACTGACTGGCAAGCAAGGCACTGACTGCCAAGCAAGGCACTGACTGGCAAGCAAGGCACTGACTGGCAAGCAAGGCACTGACTGCCAAGCAGGGCACTGACTGGCAAGCAAGGCACTGACTGGCAAGCAAGGCACTGACTGCCAATCAAGGCACTGACTGCCAAGCAAGGCACTGACTGGCAAGCGAGGCACTGACTGCCAAGCAAGGCACTGACTGGCAAGCAAGGCACTGACTGCCAATCAAGGCACTGACTGGCAAGCAAGGCACTGACTGGCAAGCAAGGCACTAACTGGCAAGCAAGGCACTGACTGGCAAGCAAGGCACTGACTGCCAAGCAAGGCACTGACTGGCAATCAAGGCACTGACTGGCAAGCAGGGCACTGACTGCCACTGACTCTTGAGTTACAAAGCAGGGTCTGCGGAAAAGGGCAGACTGTCAATGCGTGAGGGAGGGAGATGTGACGGGATGGTGGGAGAGTGGTGGGCCGCGAGGCGTGGATAGATGGTGGTGGAGTGGAGGACGGAGATAAAGAAGAGGGGGATTGGTGACAAGAAGGATACAGAGAGAGGGAATGTGGTCGAGCAAGAGGAGGGCCACGAAGAGGATGGTGAGGGGAGGAGGAGGAGGATTGGGCAGAGCTGCTGGAAGTAGTGGCTGGTGTGATTGGGGGGGTGCAGGCGATGCAGGCGATTGCCAGCCCTGTGAGCGTCATGGTGGATGGTGGCAAGGAGAGCAGCAGAGTGGGTGGTGGTGGTGGCGTGGAGGACAGGGTGGCGAGGCAAAGAGTTATGAATGCAACAAGAGGAGAAACTGGGTGCTGATTGCTGATTTGCGCATCACTTATCACTTGACATGGGTGAGTGTTGCCACGCCGGACATGATTCCAGCATGCACCATTGTTCATTATCGTGATTAGTCCCTCCCAGGTGTTCTGTGCTGTTACATTGTGCATTGACATTGTCCTTTTCACTTGTACTCGCGGCTGCTAATGCTGCTGGTCCTCGCATGGTCGCATCAGGTTCCTTGAGTGCAGAAGCGATGCATGACTGAGAGGTGAGTGGGAGAACGTGTCAGTGGGGGTTGGGAGGGAAGTGCGTCAGCAGTGAATGGCTGTTTCTACTGCATACTCAGAGAGAAGTGCCATGGCTTTGATAACTCTATTGTGCATCATTCATGCTACCACCCCCTCTACCCCTCGTCAACCATGCTGGCACCCAGTATTCAATCCTTCTCATCTGAGCCTTCCAGAACGGTACCATAGCAGGATGACACTACGGCAATAGAACTCTGTACTGTTCCACAGTTTCAGATGGTGTTTAATTATACTTTTGCACGTGTATGGACTACGTTGTTAAAGAGGCAAGTTATCTTCACATGACCCACGCCTGCACCACTCCATACTTTCCCGCACCACACCATGCTTGCCTTCACTTCCTAAAGTCTATTCATCCCCGCAAACCTTTTGCCACTCCTTGCTCTGAAGTTTCTGCCTTATTTCCTTTGAACTTTCTTGCAGCAACCAGTGGCTGCCATTCCATTCAAACCTCTGTTGCAGGTACAAGTCTACAGGCGTTCAGATGCAGTGCATGAGGGCACTCGTGGACCTCCAGCCGTGTGAGCGATCCAGCTGCGTGAACGAGGGCGGCAGCAGTGGACGTGTGCTGTACGACTTCAGGACGAGCGTGTGCAGGCTGGCGAGTGCTCCCATGTCGCCAGCACCAGCCACGCCCTGGGAGGACCTGCATGCTCCCTGCTGCCGCGCTCACCGAGCGCCTGCCACGCCGCTGCAACGGCGAACGCTGTGTGGGGGCGGCTGCGGGGGTGGCCGTGAGCCTACAGCGCCAGCCCGTTGCACCTGCCGCTTTCGCACAATGCCCGTCGCTGCACCTGCTGTCGCTGCACGTGTTGTCGCTGCACCTGCTGTCGCTGCACCTGCTGTCGCTGCACCTGCTGTCGCTGCACCTGCTGTCGCTGCACCTGCTGCACCTGCTGTCTCTGCACCTGCTGTCTCTGCACCTGCTGTCGCTGCACCTGCTGTCGCTGCACCTGCTGTCGCTGCATCAGCCGTCGGCCCGTCGCTGCCTGCTGTAGCCGCCGCACCTGGTGCCGCTATCTGTCGCCGTTGAATCTGCCAACGCTGCACTGGCCTGCCACCGTATCTTCTGCTGTACATTTCTCTTATTCTGCCTTCTGCTAGAATGGTGGACCCTTTCAGTGGGTGTTGTTGTAACCAGTTGTTGATGCAGGCAGGGGTGTGTCGACGATCTACTTGCTGAGTGTAGCTGTTTGCCTACCCTATGGGTGGTGCACCTAGCCTGCCCTACCATTCTTCTCTTCTCTTTAAAGTGAAACCCCTCTCTCCTCTTCCCATCTTCCTAAGACCCTACATTTGACAGAATCTTGTTTGCCTCCGACTAAAGGCGGTTTCATGCATGTGGGACAAGATAATTCTCATGGCATGGCTACAAATGCTGTGCTGAAATGAAAGCACGTGACGTGAAGGGCAAGGAACAAGCATGGTGGGGATATGCAGTGAGTGGAGTGGAGTCAGCTATCCCACATTGGATGCGTCCAACAACCTCTTCACCACCCAAGCACTAATCTAGCAATCTATGCTTACTCCGAGTAGTCATAGAAGGTCTTGGCGATATGCAATCCACGCATGCCGTCAGGGCACTCAGTGTCAGTCAAGGTCATCAGCACACCCTGTGATGGTCAAGCTATGAAGCATCGTGAGCTGGGAGATATCCCTTGGCAACGCTACCAGCTGCTTGCACCCATGCAGGTTACCGGTAAGAGTCTTGAGCCGACGCAGCCGTCCAAAGTGGCGAGGCAGGGAGTGCAGGGAGGTGCAGCGCAGGTTCAGGTCGTGCAGGCAGGAGAGCTGCGTGAGGGAAGCCGGGAGCTCTGCAAGTGCCGAGCAGTTGGCCAGATTCAGCCGACGCAGTCGAGTCAAGGCGCCGATACCATCCGGTAGCGAGGAGAACTCGGGAGCATGGATCTCAATGGATGTGAGGCGGTGCAGAGCGGTGACACTGTCTGTGAGCTCCCTCAACTTGACAGCCTGGTTGATGTGAATGCGCTGCAGTCGCTGCAACACTGGAACATACTTCTTTGGAAAACTCTTCAGGCGGCCAGCAGTTGCGATTTTGAGGGTGCGGAGGTTGGGGAACAACTCTAGGGGCAGTGGGAGGTCCTCGGCCTCGCCCACCAGCAACAGCTCCACGTGCTCCATGGCGGGCAGCACCATGCTCGGGACCAGCCCGCGCATGCAGCCCACACTTATGAGGCTCAAGCTCCTCAGCCTGGGCAGAGCACGGATTTCCAGAAAAGGGGTGAGGCGCTGGTAGGTTCCAAGGGAGAGGATCTCGAGGGAGTGCGGCAGCGATGGCAGGAGGTGGGGCAGCTGAGGGAGCTTGGCCAAGGCCAACTCCTGAGCCTCGAAAGGCTGCTCAAGGTGGTGGGAAAGGAGGAGAGGTCGCGGCACGCGCGGACCTTGAGAAGCTCCAGGTTGACGAGGTGAGGTCAGTGAGGGAGTCGAGTATCTCGGTGATGTGCGAGAAGGGCTGGATGAGCTTTACATCCCAACGTACATCCCGTTGTCAGTGAGAAGCCGCGTACAACCCAACGAGCTTTAAATTTGTCAATGGTGCCGCCAGCCTTTGTCTTCACACGGAAGACCCACTTCCCGGTGAGCACTGTCTTGTTCCGTGCTACGCCGATAGGAACCACTTTCCACGTGTTGCGTTCCTCCAGTGCCTTTAGCTCCTTGTCCATGGCTTCGCGCCATTTTCCCTTATGCTCCCCCCCCCAGAGCCTGTTGAACTGTCGCATGCTCTTTAGGAATGGCGGTGCCGTGGACTGCGGTGACGAGTCCGAGAATTTGCAGTCCACTCTGTGAGTAGCGGGGAAGATTTGCGTCCTCGGGATAAGCTGCTTCATCTCCCGCTTTTGGATCAGGTATCACGGCGAATCACTACGTTTCCCACAGCAGTGACACTGGCGGCACAATCCCAGCGAGGCAGCACCCCGGCGAGGCACGGCTCCCGTGATGGTCTGGCTTGACCCCGCGTTGACGCCTGCTGCGCACACACCGTCACATGGCACGCCCACCCACTCCCATCGCCCCGCGCGTACCTCGGCGGAGATGAGCCGCGACACGGGCTACGCAGAACCTGGCATTGCGGTAGGCGATTGGGGTTCGGGGAGAGGAAGGAGATTGGGGTCAGGGGAAGGAGGCAAGGGGAAGCGTAAAGGCAGGGGTAAGGAGAGGGAGAGGGGGAGGGTGTAAGTGAAAGGAGAGTGCGCAAGGGGGGTAGAGGGAGGGTTCTAGATGGTGCGCTGACGAGCAGTACGGCTGTGCAGGTGGAGGCGAGAGGGCATGGGCACAGCAAGCATCCTCTTATGCCTCCGCAGACCCATCGACAATCCCCCCTCTCCAGCGGTCCCTCACAGCCCTTGGAGCGACTCTCACAAGCGTCCTCGCCCCACAGCACTCTGTCCGTGCAACCCTCGAACGGAAACCGCCACTTACCTACTCAGCCAACAAAGCCAGTCAAAAGAAGGCCCGCGAGCCGTGATCTTCGGTTCGTGAGCGATATACGGTCAGGATTACTTTGGTTCCCGGATCGGCGGAATTGAAACCAGGCCGACCGTGCCCGGCAGCAGAGCTGACTTAACCTATGGCACCCTCCGAGGACAAGAGGCCGAAGGAGGAGGCGCTGAACCGAGGCGTCATGTTCGAGGGACACTCGATGCTGCTGCTGCCAACGAAACCATGCGCGCGAATCAAATCGATGCGCCGCAGGAGAAGCAGAAAGTACTGGACACGGGAGTGAAACTACTTCCGTGCCGCTGCTGGCAGAGTGAAACTGAGTTGGGTGTGGCTAGCAAATGGATGTATGCACAACAACATCGCCTTTATGGAAACGAAAGAACACGACCACGGAACAAAATAAGATCTCATACCATTCACGCTCAATAACTAGGCCAGTATTCGAAACGCTGGTGGCAGGCAAGAAGGTAGATGCTCAAACCACTCAAATGAGGGCGCCTGCTGACCTTCGCGGCTCGATGCGCAAAAGCGTCAACTCCTCCATGAGGAATCTCATCACTCGCGAAACCTGCCTCCCACCCCCCCACTCCGCAACTACACACACGGTTTCTGCCAGCCTATTCCGCAAGACTGCCCACGTTCGGTTCCGCAGCCCCAGCGCAATCCCAGATCCGCCCCAAAACTCCAACCCCAACAACCTCCACCTTCCCGTCAATTTCCAGGTCGTCTTGCCCCGCTTGCAAATGTTACCACAGAAAATATGCAATCACAGTCAGAGACATCATTTCGTTACCTCCTGTTATGTTTCGGCATTTTCGCCAGGGTCCCCTTCACCTTTGTGAGCGGAGTCGGTTCTGGGTGCAGAAGCCTAGCGGAAAGAAAAACAAACCCCTGCTTGCGGGAAGCGCAGTGAGAGCTCTGTGGAGCACACCATTACAGTACAGTCGATGCTCACTTAGTGCCGTGGAATTTGCTCGATCCATCTAACAACTTTTCCCTCGTGCATTCGTGGACAGGCAACGGCCCCTCATATACAGTCACGTCAGCAGATCGTAGCCGTCAATCAAACTGCTTATCACGCTGTCAACCATCCCTTCGTCAGATATTTTAGAAACAACACATGGTAATTCGCCAACCCCTCCACTTCCGCGTTACAGTCCCATCTTTTCCGGTGGCGAATTTAAGCGATTTCACGAAAAGCTTTTGCTCATTCCCCGCTCTTTGATAAGGCGAAGGTGGGGCTCCTCTAATGGGCATCAACTGTATCTGGGATACTGTGAAGCACGATTGCCTGCCACACTTTTGCAGTTCACATTCACTCTTACCTGCAGCACCGAAGGCGCGCTAGGGATTCCGCTAGTTTAGATACCATGCCTCACGCATACATCAACGATCTATCAGACGACCTACTTGTTAGAATCTTCTGGAGCGCCAAAGAACCCTACATTACTCGCCAGCCCATAGACAACAACGTTGATACAACGCTATTCGGCTTGCCAGGGCCAAGGTACTCTAGCGAAAACCCGTATGGCGAAAAGCTCACCACCTCCGAAGGTTACTTGCTGCCCTTGTCGCATCGGAACGACAACAGTAGTAGAACGAACATTGCTAGCAGTAGTCCGCTGTCAGCTCCTGCCACGCGCACAGACCCGGCATACAATCTCCTCATCGCCTCCGTGTGCTCGCGCTGGCGTCGCCTGGCGCGTCGGCACGTGTCCATGCTCCTCGTGAAGAAGAACCGCGTCGTTCCGCTCGCACATCTCACCGCGGCCGTCGCGTGCTTCCGGCACCTCTCCCACGTGCATCTGAGCGACAACAGCGTCGAGACCATCGACGACGCCTTCCTCGCTCACCTCGCCGCTGCGTGCCCGAAGCTGGTGTCGCTGCACGTGGGCAAGGGCATGACGAAGCAGTGGAACCGGGGGGCCGGGGATGGCTTTCCGGTGACGGCGGCTGGTGTGGACAACCCAACGAGCTTTAAATTTGTCAATGGTGCCGCCAGCCTTTGTCTTCACACGGAAGACCCACTTCCCGGTGAGCACTGTCTTGTTCCGTGCTACGCCGATAGGAACCACTTTCCACGTGTTGCGTTCCTCCAGTGCCTTCAGCTCCTTGTCCATGGCTTCGCGCCATTTTTCCTTATGCTCCCCCCCCCAGAGCCTGTTGAACTGTCGCATGCTCTTTAGGAATGGCGGTGCCGTGGACTGCGGTGACGAGTCCGAGAATTTGCAGTCCACTCTGTGAGTAGCGGGGAAGATTTGCGTCCTCGGGATAAGCTGCTTCATCTCCCGCTTCTAGATCAGGTATGAAGTTCGGTCCTACTCGTTTTGCTTCGTTGGTGTTGACTGTCGCAGGTGTTACGTAACCGTTGTCGGCGAAATAGTAGAAGGATTCGGCGTTGACACTTTCGCGAGGGTTATCTTCGTCCATGGGAACGTCGACGGAGCAGAACGGAAGAGGTCCGGCTTCTTCTGATGCGTTGTCCACATTCTGCTCGTCCCAGTCAGCTTCGTCCGCTGCTGAGGCGAAGGCTCGGTCACCGCGAAAACCACCTGTGGGATCCTGATCTTCTTGCAGGTTGGCGAGGTATGTCTGGAGCGTGAGTCGTTCGTAGAAAATTACATCACGTGATGCTACTATTTCCTTGGAATGGACGTTGAAGATTTTCCACGCGTTGTAGTTCTTTTCGATTCCCAGGTGTAGTCCCCACTGTACTCGTTGAGAAAATCGGCCCGCTCGTGCTGCTGGGGGTCGATACTGTACCATGCATCCGAATACTCGTAACATTTTTGTGCTGCCCTGTTTCCCTGTCCATAGCAGATGCGGTGATGCGTTGTTTGGAAGCGATGATGGCGAGAGCAAGTTGTGCCGCATGACGGCGTGGTCCACTGCCGCAGGCCACTGGTGGTTGGGTAGCCGCATGCCACGTAACAGTTTGCGCATGCTGTTCTGTAAGGTCCTGTTCATTCTTTCTGCTACACCTTGCTGCTGATGGGCGTAGGGAAGGGAGATGAGCCGCTTGATTCCCCTTTCCGCCAGGTACTGCTTGAATCGCTGAGAGGTGTATTCTCCTCCTCCGTTTGACTGGAAGCTTTTCAGTTTCACGCCCGATTTTCTCTCTGCTACTGGTAGCCAGGCAGCATAGGCTTCGAATGCCATGTCGCGGCTAGGGAGGTTTAGGTGCCAGACGTAACGGGTGGCGGCGTCGATGAAGGTGATTGTATAGTTGTATATTACTTGTCCTGGTTCTCGATTGAACAGGATGTCGCTATACACCTTCTCGAGTGGTGCGTACGCGGGTGCGCTCGGGTTGTGATGAGACGCAAACGGTCGATGTGGTAAGTCACCTTCAGGGCAGGTGAAGCACGCTCTGCGTACTCGTTGAATTTCTCGTCTGTTGGTCAGTAGGAGTGAGTCCTTGTCGAGTGCTCCTGCTCTTATCCTATTGTTTAATACTTTGTTGCTTGGGTGTCCCATCCTTGCGTGCCAGGTGCTTTCGTCGGCGCGATGTCCGGGTGATCGTCGGTACATATCGGAGTTGGAGTAGAAGTTGGGGGTGAAGTTGGCGCTACGATGAACTTCTCGTGGTGCTGGGTGTAGTTGTTGCGCGGGTGTCGGTGGTGTGTCGTCGATGAGGAGCGGTGTCGTTGAAGGACCAGCAATTGGTGCTGACGTTCCTGCTGCTGCCGTTGATGGCTCTGCTACTGCCGATGTTGTCTCTGCTGCTGCCGATGTTGTCTCTGCTGCTGCCGATGTTGTCTCTGCTGTTGCCGATGTTGTCTCTTGCTGCTGCCGGTGTTGTCTCTGCTGCTGCTGATGTTGTCTCTGCTGCTGCCAGTGTTGTCTCTGCTGCTGCTGATGTTGTCTCTGCTACTGCTGATGTTGTCTGAATTGTTGCTAACGCCCTTGTTCTTTCTGCTTCGGGGATGGTGTGTAAATACCAGAAGCCGTCTGGACTGAAGTCTGGATCAAGGTCTGGAGGGTGTGTCCAGTTGGTGAAGTTAACGATGGCTTCGCTGTCGGCGGTGCCAAGATCAGGAACGAAGTCAAGAACGAAGACATTGTTCTTGAGGACCGCCTTGCCGATGTAGAGTCCTCCTCTCCCGTGATACAGCTTGAATTCTTGGGTGGTGCTGTCTGCTTCGAGGTGAATCCCTTTCGCCATTAGCTGACTGACGCTTAGTAAGTTGTAGCCGAGTCCCTCCGCGATTAGTACTTTTGACATCTGCAGTATAACATTTGTTTCCCTTGACTGAAGTTGAGCTACGCCTTGTCGTCGTGTTCGCTGGTTCTGATTGTTGGCGACTGTAATGACAACTTCGCGTTGAAGTTGGTGTTCTCGTTGAACGAAGCGTCCCGAGGAGCACATGTGCTGTCCGCAGCAACTGTCCAAGAACCATGTGTCCTTTCCGGATGGTTCGATTTGGGCGATGGCGGCGTATGTCGGGTTCGGCTGAAGTGACTCGCGGCGGGGTGTGGTTTCGTCGAGTTGTTCTTTCGGTGAGTAGTGAGGTGGTGACTCAGTGATGCAGGAGTCACTCAGCTTTGCCTTGCAGCTGACGATGTTTCTTGCTCCTTGTGCAGGTTGTCCTGTTGAGGTCGCTGAGGCTTGAATCTGAGTCGTGGGATTTGCTTGCGTTGAGGCGATTTGGCTGCTTGAAGGTTGAAGTTGCCGCTGTGGAGTTGTTGAGTGTTGACGATTCGGGCAGTGCGTACGCGGGTGTCCTGAAGTTTTGCAGATGTGGCAGAACGGAGGTACTGGCTTCGGTTGTTGCTGCCGGTTGTTGTTGTTGTAGCGTCGCTGAGTGTGGAACGCGAATTCTGGTGCTGATGTCTTCTTTTTGTGTCGTTCTTCTTGCAGGTCCATGTCAGATTTATATGACATAGCTATTGTAGGCTATAGTGGGGTAGCACATATGGGGTACGACTTTCTAGGGTTTGTACTTGTACCCAACTTTCCCTTAGTCAATTCATTCTCGTTCATTTTCACATGGTATCGAGCAGGTTCCCCTGTGGGAACTGTTCCTAGGGCCCACCACCTTTTTTTTCCTGCCCGGAGCGCGCTCTACTCTGCCTGAGTCGCGCTCCCCTCTTTCGACCCTGTCGCACCGCCTTAGCGGCCCCGTCGCGTCGCACTTGCGGCCCCGTCGCGTCGCCCTCGCGGCCCCGTCACGTCGCGCCGCCCTAGCGGCCGCGTCGCGCCGCCCTCGCGGCCCCGTCGCGCCGCCCTCGCGGCCCGTTCGCGCCGCCCTAGCGGCCCTTTCGTGCCGCCCTCACGGCCTCTTCAAGCCGCCCTCGCGACCCCCCCTCCTATCCGCCCTAGCGGCCCCGTCGCCTACCCCTCCGGCCCAGGCACCCCCCTTTCCGGCCCCGGCGCCGCCCTTCCCGGCCTCGGCGCCGCCTCTGCTGGCCCGTCACCTACCCTGCGGCCCCGGCGCCTACCCTGCGGCCCCGGCGCCTACCCTGCGGCCCCGTCGCCTACCCTGCGGCCCCGGCGCCTACCCTGCGGCCCCGGCGCCTACCCCGCGGCCCCGTCGCCTACCTTGCGGCCCCAGCGCCTACCCTGCGGCCCCGTCGCCTACCCCGCGGCCCCGTCGCCTACCCTCCGGCCCCGGCGCCTACCCTGCGGCCCCGGCGCCTACCCTGCGGCCCCGGCGCCTACCCTGTGGCCACGACGCCTACCCTGCGGCCCCGGCGCTACCCTTCCCGGCCCTGGCGCCGCCTCTACCGGCCCCGCCGCCGTCCCCACGCGGCCGCCGGCGCCGCTGAGCTACTGCCGAGCCGCCCGAGCCACCTGAGCCGCCCGAGCCGCCGCGCCACCTGAGCCGCCCGAGCCGCCGTGTCGCCGAGCTACCGAGCCGCCGTACCGCCGAGCCGCCCGAGCCGCCAGAGCCGCCGAGTCGCCGAGCTGCAGTTGCTGCCGAGCCGCTGTACCGCCGAGTCGCCCGAGCCGCCAGACCCGCCAAGCCGCCCGAGCCGCCCTGTCCGGTAAGAGCAGCGCCTCTATCACTGCACTGACCTTACCCTACTGTTCGCGCTGCTAGTCTACTGCTATCATGGCTACCCCTAGTGTCCACGCTTTTGATGCTGAGGGTCGGGCCATTGACTTTGACGTCTGGGTAGATGACCTGCAGCTTTTCCTACAGTGCGATAGGGCGGACGGTCTCTCCCTCTTTGACCTCACTTCTAGTGCCTCTCCTGCCCCCGCTGCTGATGCTGACGCCACTGTTCGCTCACAGTGGGCCACACGCGATGCTGCTGCACGTCTTGCTGTGCGTCGCCACCTGCCTGTCAGAACATATCTATAGCTTATACTGCTGTGTAGGCTGTAGTGGGGTATCCCATAGGGGGTACAACCCAGTTAGGGTCTCATATTTGTACTGCTTTCATTCATAGTTCATTCATTCCTCCTTACTCATTTTCACATGGTATAGAGCTAGGTCCCTCCAGGACCGAAATTTTTTTTTGGGCCCACCGAAGCGCGCCCCCGAGGCGCGATTTTTTTTTAGCGACCCCTCGAGTCGCCCTCTCCCCTGCGGCCTCGCCGCCCACTCTGTCGCGGCCCCGCCCTGCTCCTTACGCGGCCCCGCCGCCTGCTCCTTACGCGGCCCCGCCCCGGCCCTTACGCGGCCCCGCGTCGCCTCCTACGCGGCCCTTACGCGGCCCCGCGCCGGCCCCTTACGCGGCCCTTACGCGGCCCTTACGCGGCCACGCCGCCGGCTCCTTACGCGGCCCCGCGCCGGCCCCTTACGCGGCCCTTACGCGGCCCTTACGCGGCCACGCCGCCAGCTCCTACGCGGCCCCGCGCCGGCTCCTTACTCGGCCCGTCCCCGGCCCCTACGCGGCTCCGCGCCGGCTCCTACGCGACCCTTACGCGGCCACGCCGCCGGCTCCTACGCGGCCCCGCGCCGGCTCTCACGCGGCCCCACAGCCGGCCCCTTAAGCGGCCCCACCGCCGGCCTCCTACTCGGCCCTGCCGGCTTGTACTCGGCTCCTATCACGGCCCCGCCCCGGCTCCTTCGCGGCCCTGCCCCGGCTCCTACGCGGCCCTACCGCCGGCCCTGACGCGGCCCCGCCCCGTCTCACCTCTACGCGACCCGAGCCGCCTGTCGCTGAGCAGCCCGGGACCCGAGCCGCCCTGCAGCCGAGCCGCCCGGGAGCCGAGCCGCCCTGCACTCGAACCGCCCGGCAGCCGAGCCGCTCGGGAGCCGAGCCGCCCTGCACCCGAGCCGCCCTGCAGCCGAGCCGCCCGGGAGCCGAGCCGCCCTGCACCCGAGCCGCCCTGCAGCTGAGCCGCCCGGGAGCCGAGCCGCCCTGCACCCGAGCCGCCCCGCTGTCAAGCCGCCCGGTCGCCGTTCTGCTTTTCTGTCGAGCTGCGCGACCTGCCCTGCCTGGTGAGCACAGTCCCACTGTCACTGCGTGCTCTCCCCCCTACTGCTTGCACTGCTTCACAGTCGTCGTCATGGCTACCCCTAGTGTCCTAGCTTTTGACGCTGAGGGTCGCGCCATTGATTTTGAGGTCTGGCTAGACGACCTGCAGCTGTTCTTACAGTGCGACAGGGCTGATGACCTTTCTCTCTTTGACCTCACCTCTGGCGCCTCTCCTGCTCCTGCTGCTGATGCTGATCCCGCTGTCCGCTCTAAGTGGGCCACCCGCGATGCTGCTGCACGTCTTGCTGTGCGTCGCCACCTCCCTACCTCTGAGCGTGCGCACTTTAGTCAGTACAAGAGTGCTCACACCTTGTACGACGCTGTAGTTGCGCGCTACTCCTCCCCTGCCACTGCTGCACTGAGCCGTCTCATGCTTCCCTACCTCTTTCCTGACCTCTCTGCCTTTCCCACTGTCGCTGACCTCATTACGCACCTCCGCACTAGTGACACTCGCTACCGCGCCGCCCTTCCTGCTGAGTTCTGCGCTAGGAACCCCCCTCCCATGTACATCGCTCTCTACTACGTAGTCGCGCGCCTCCCTGACTCCCTTCGCGTCGTCAGGGACCACTTTCTCGCAGTCTGTCCCACCACTCTCACCGTCGACCTCCTCGAGAAGGCCCTCCTCGCAGCGGAGAAGAGCATAGTCGCTATAGGTGCTTCTCGTGGTGACCCTCGCACCCCCATCTTTGAGGGGTGCTCTCCTTCCCCCTTGCTGCCCTCTGTTGCCTCTGCTGCTGCTGCCGACCTGCTTGGTCTTGAGTCGGTCGGCGCGGCGTCTGCCCCTAGTGGGAGACGTCGCTCCAGCAAGGGCAAGGGAGGCAAGGGCGCGGGTGGAGCTGGAGGGGGCGGTGGCGGTGGCGGCGGTGGCGGCGGAGGGAGTGGGGGTGGTGGCGGGACTAGTGGCGGGGGTGGTGGTGGTGGTGGTGGCAGCAGCGGCGGAGACGGTGGTGGTGGTGCCAGCGGTGGTGGTGGAGGCAGCGGCGGAGGTGGAGGCGACGGAGGTGGAGGCAGTGGAGGCGGCAGCGGCGGAGGCAGTAGTGGTGGAGGAGGTGGAGCTGGTCGGGGTGGTACCCAGCAGCGTAGCGGCGGTGGTGGTGGCCAGCGCTCGCACCGGCAGCAGCAGCAGCGCTCACGGGACATCCCTTCGCCTCAGCAGCTTCGTGAGTGGTACGCTGGGCGTCAGAGGGGTGGGGGTACTGGTCCCTGCACCTACGTTCTTCGTTCCGGCGACCGCGCGGGTGAGCAGTGTGGGGGTGCCCACGCCACCCAGCGCTGCTTTGGCCGCCTGACGGACGCTTGGCGTCAGCAGTTCCCTGGGGCTAGTGAGATCCCTCGCTGGGATGAGCTTCTCAGGGCTGGTGTAGCGATCTTTGATCTTGATTTTGATGCTATCCTTACTGCTATGTATGTTGTGGACTATAGTGAGGAGAATGAGGGTTACCGGTGTTTCCAGCCCGACCCGGGCATTGGTACTGCTGCGCTAGGTACTGGTGAGGCTGCTGCTCTAGGTGCCAGTGCGTCTGCGCTCTCAGGTACTGGTGAGACTGCGTTCTCAGGTACTGAGTCGTCCTCGTCCTCCCTCACTTTCACACTTGACTCCGGAGCTTCTCGCTCCTTCTTTCGAGACCGCACTACCCTTTCGCCGCTCGCCAGGCCGGTTGCGGTCTCCCTTGCTGACCCCTCTGGGGGTCCTGTCCTGTCTCACTTCTCCACTGTCCTCCCGTGTCCGGCTGCCCCTTCGGGCACCCTGTCGGGTCTGTACCTTCCCTCGTTCTCTACGAACTTGGTGAGTGGAGCGGACCTGCAGGATGGGGGTGTTCACCAGTTCACTCCTGCGCGTCAGCGGGTGACCCACTGCACGGAGGCTCGCACAGGCCGACACCTGGCCACGTTCTCGCGTCGGCCGGGGTCGAGTCTCTACACCCTGACCGTTGAGTCTCCTCCTGTCCCTGCGTCTGGTCAGGTGGCTGCGTCGGGTCAGGTACTTGCTGCTGCGTCCCGGTCAGGTCCTGAGTCTGCCCCCTGTTCTTGTCGCCTCCTGTCTCACGAGACTCTCCTGTGGCACCACCGTCTTGGCCACCCCTCCTTGCCCCGTCTTCGGAGCATGGCTTCCCGTGTCCTTGTCTCTGGTCTTCCCCAGTCTCTCCCTCCTCTCCCCTCCGGGCCAGGACCTTCCTGTGTCCCCTGTGTCGAGGGTCGCCTCCGGGCTACTCCTCACTCCTCCCACTTCCCCCCGACAGAGGCTCCCCTGCAGACGCTTCACATGGATGTGTGGGGCCCAGCCCCCGTCCGTGGGCAGGGTTACGAGCGATACTTCCTGTTGGTGGTTGACGACTACTCGCGTTACACCACAGTCCTCCCCTTGCGCAGCAAGGGTGCGGTCACTGAGGTGCTGATCGACTGGATCCGCGAGGCTCGTCTCCAACTCAGGAAGAGCTTCGGCTCGGACTTTCCTGTTCTGCGTCTGCACTCTGACAGAGGCGGAGAGTTCTCTTCTCGCCTTCTGCGAGACTACTGTCGTGCACGGGGGATCCGCCAGACCTTCACGCTTCCGGACTCACCACAGCAAAATGGGATTGCTGAGCGCCGCATTGGCATGGTCATGGATGTCGCTCGTACGTCCATGATGCATGCGGCTGCCCCCCATTTTCTGTGGCCGTTTGCGGTGAGGTACGCGGCGCATCAGCTCAACCTTCACCCCCGGGTCTCTCGGCCTGCGATGTCCCCAGCCTTGCTGTGGACGGGGAAGGTTGGCGATGTGTCTGTGTTCCGTGTCTGGGGATCTCGGGCGTTTGTCCGCGACTTGTCTGCGGACAAGCTGTCCCCTCGTGCTGCTCCGTGTGTCTTCCTTGGCTTCCCCACTGACGCCCCAGGGTGGCAGTTTTACCACCCCTCCTCTCGTCGTGTTCTGTCCTCCCAGGACGTCACGTTCGACGAGTCAGTCCCCTTCTACCGTCTCTTCCCCTACCGCACTCCTTCCCTCCCCCCTCCCCCGGACTTCCTTGTGCCGGTTCCCCCCCCGGTAGACCCCCTCCCCCCTCAGGTTCCTGCCCCCTCAGGTGTGTCCCAGGTAGACGCCGTTGACCCGTTCGAGGTTACTGGTGACTCTGGTGCTGCTGCGGGTGCTGAGCCTGGGGGTGCTGACTCTGGGGGTGCTGTGCGCGGGGGTGCTGAGCCTGGGGGTGCTACTGCTGGGGGTGCTGGGCCTGGGGGTGCTACTGCGGAGGGTGCGGAGCCTGGGGGTGCTGAGCCGGGGGGTGCTGTGCCTGGAGGTGCTGGGTCTGGGGGTGCTGGGTCGGGAGCTGCTGAGCCTGGGGGTGCTGAGCTGGGAGCTGCTGAGCCTGGAGGTGCTGCGTCTGGAGCTGCTGAGCCTGGGGTTTCTCCTGCTGCTGCGTCTCGCCGGGAGCCCCTCTCTCCACAGGAGCTGCGCGAGTGGTTCGCTCGCCGCTAGAGGCGTGCTGCTGTGTCTGGAGGTGCTGCTGGAGCTGGAGCTGGAGCTTCTTCGACCGTCGAGGGTGCGGGTGCTGCCGGTCCCGGAGCTGCTGGACCTGCGGGTCCTCCTGGAGCTGGAGCTGCTGAGGGCGTTCGTGCTGAGCCTGCTGCTGTTGGTCCTGCCGCTGGAGGTGTGGGTGGCGCTGGTGCTGTCGCTGAGGGTGCTAGTGCTGTCCCTGCTGAGTCTGGAGCTGCCGCGCGGCCTCGGCCGTACTTCGTTCCGCTCCTGCAGCAGGTTCTTGGTCTTTCTCCTCCAGTAGAGTGTCCACCGCCTGTCCAGTCGCAGTCCCTACTGGAGCCTTCCTCTCCACTGCCTGCTCCCTCTCCTTACACTGGTCCTACTGGAGGTCTTGCTGAGCGTCGTGAGCCTGCGTCTCGCCCCGCGTCGCCTGTTCGTGCTGCTCGCGCTAGTGGTCGCAGTTCGCGTCAGCGTCCTCCTCCTGTCCCTGGCACGCACCGGATGTCTCTGCGTCCGTCCACTGCTCCTCTACGTGCCCCTTTGCCTTCTCCTCCTGAGTCTTCTCTTCCTGCGCTTGCCGACCCTGAGTCGGACTCTCTTCGCGCTGCGAGTCCTACTGTCACGCGTCTGCTTGCTACTGTCGTCACTGACCCCTCTTTTGAGTCCACTGCTGCGTCTGCTCTAGTCGCTGAGCTCGTCGACTTTGCTGCTCGCTGTCGTCTCGACTACGCTGCTAGTCTTGTTGCTGAGTCTGCGTCTGTCTGTCCTCCGTCCGTCGGGGGTGAGTGTGCTCTTGGCACGGACGTCCTAGAGGACAGGCAGGAGGAGTTACAGTGTCTAGCGGCTGCTTCACCTCATCTCGCGTCTGTACTGCTTGCCCCTGAGGGAGACCCGGATGCACTAGACATCCCGACTCCGCGTTCTTACGCGGAGGCCGTAGAGGGCCCCTACTCCTCTCAGTGGCAGGCAGCCATGGATGCAGAGATGGCTTCCTGGAAGTCCACAGGCACCTACATTGACGCGGTTCCCCCTCCTGGGGCGAACATCGTCAGTGGCATGTGGATCTTCAGGGTGAAGCGGCCGCCGGGCTCTCCACCTGTCTTCAAGGCACGGTACGTTGCTCGTGGCTTCAGTCAGCGGCAGGGAGTTGACTACTTTCAGACCTTCTCTCCCACCCCGAAGATGACTACTCTTCGGGTGCTGCTGCACATAGCCGCTCAGCGCGACTACGAGCTTCACTCTCTCGACTTCAGCACTGCGTTCTTGCAGGGTAGCCTGCACGAGGAGATCTGGCTTCGCCGTCCACCTGGCTTCACTGGGACTTTCCCTCCTGGCACCCCGTGGAGCCTCAGACGGCCAGTCTACGGTCTCCGCCAGGCACCGCGTGAGTGGCACGACACACTGAGGACTACGCTTGCGGCTCTTGGGTTTGCTCCTTCTACTGCTGACCCGTCGCTGTTTCTTCGCACCGACACTTCCCTGCCGCCGTTCTACATCCTCGTGTACGTCGACGACTTGGTCTTTGCCACAGCGGACACTGCTGGACTCGCCTACGTGAAGTCCGAGCTGCTGAAGAGACACACGTGCACAGACCTGGGTGAACTGCGCAGCTACCTTGGCTTGCAGATCACTCGGGACAGAGCACACCGCACCATTACCTTGACTCAGTCACACATGGTGCAGCAGGTCCTTCAGCGCTTCGGCTTCACGTACTCCTCGCCTCAGGCCACTCCTCTGCCTACTCGCCACTCACTCTCAGCTCTGCCTTCGGATGAGTCCGTAGAGTCGAGTGGTCCGTATGCAGAGCTTGTTGGCTGCCTCATGTACCTGATGACCTGCACACGACCTGACCTTGCATACCCTCTGAGCATTCTTGCGCGCTATGTTGCTCCTGGGAGACACAGACCGGAGCACATGGCTGCAGCGAAGAGGGTATTGCGCTACCTGTGCAGTACGTCAGGCATGGGGCTAGTGCTTGGAGGGCGGAGTCCAGTGGTCCTTACCGGCCACGCGGACGCTTCTTGGGCTGACGACCAGGCTACGCAGCGGTCGTCACAGGGTTACACCTTCAGCCTTGGTTCCGGTTCTGTCTCGTGGCGGTCTACTCGCTCGTCTTCGGTTCTCGGCTCCAGTTGTGAGGCTGAGATCTACGCCGGAGCCATGGCTGCACAGGAGCTTCGCTGGCTCACCTACCTGCTGACTGACCTTGGAGAGCCGCCTCGTTCTCCTCCAGTGCTGTACGTAGACAACAAGGCTATGCTGGCCTTGTGTCGAGAGCAGCGCTTGGAGCACAGAACGAAGCACATTGCTCTCCGCTACTTCCTTGCTCGTGAGTTGCAGCAGCGTGGTCAGTTGCGACTTGCGTACGTGGCCTCTGAGGCCAACACTGCTGATGTGTTCACCAAGGCACTTGCGCCTTGTGACCATCAGCGCTTCTGCACCCAGCTGGGTCTTGTGCCTGTCTTGCCTCACTTGCTCTCCTCTTGACTTCACTTGTACTGTGACATATATATATACCTGCTCTTGCTTGTCTAGTTTTATATATATATATGTCTGTACTCTTGCTTGTGAACTGGCCTTTGGCCTTGCTCTTGTGCTCGGACTGTGTGGTGACTTTGTGATCCACCCTGAGCTTTGCTTTGTCTTGCTTGACTGGTCTTGTGACCCCTTGTTCTCCCCCACTTTGCCTATGGGGGTGTGTCAGAACATATCTATAGCTTATACTGCTGTGTAGGCTGTAGTGGGGTATCCCATAGGGGGTACAACCCAGTTAGGGTCTCATATTTGTACTGCTTTCATTCATAGTTCATTCATTCCTCCTTACTCATTTTCACACTGCCTACCTCTGAGCGTGCACAATTTAGCCACTACAAGAGTGCTCAGACCTTGTACGATGCTGTAGTTGCACGTTACTCCTCCCCTGCCACTGCTGCACTCAGCCGCCTCATGCTACCGTACCTCTTCCCTGACCTTGCTGCCTTTTTCACAGTCGCTGATCTCATTACGCACCTCCGCACTAGTGACACTCGCTATCGCGCTGCGCTTCCTGCTGACTTCTGCGCCAAGAACCCCGCCCCCCCCCCATGTACATTACCCTCTACTACATAGTCACTCAGCTCCCAGACTCTCTCCGCGTAGTTCGGGACCACTTCCTCTCAGTTTGCCCCACCACTCTCACCGTTGACCTCCTCGAGAAGGCCCTCCTAGCGGCAGAGAAGAGCATAGTCGCTGTAGGAGCCTCTCGTGGTGACCCTCGCACCCTCGTCTTTGAGGGGTGTTCTCCCTCCCCCCTTTTGCCCTCTGTTGCCTCCGCTGCTGCGGCCGACCTCGTTGGTTTCGAGTCGGTCAGCGCTGCGTCTGCCCCGAGCGGGAGACGCCGCACCGGCAAGGGCAAGGGGGGCAAGGGCGCTGGAGGGGCTGGAGGGGGTGGCGGAGGTGGCGGTGGCGGCAGTGGAGGGGGTGGGGGTGGTGGTGGGAGTGGTGGCGGGGGTGGAGGTGTCGGTGGCGGCAGTGGAGGCGGAGTCGGAGGTGGCGGTGGGGGCGGAGGTGGCGGAGGTGGCGGCGGAGGAGGAGGCGGCAGCGGAGGCGGCGAGGCTGGTCAGGGTGGCGCTGCGCAGAGGGTCGGCTCCGGTGGTGGTCAGCGCAAGCAGCAGCAGCACACTCGTGACATCCCCCCCCCTCAGCAGCTCCGTGAGTGGTACGCTGCACGCCAGCGGGGTGGGGGTACTGGTCCGTGCACCTAGGTTCTACGCACCGGCGACCGCGCGGTTGAGCAGTGCGGGGGTGCGCACTCCTCCCAGCGCTGCTTTGGCCGCCTTACGGACACTTGGCGTCACTAGTTCCCTGAGGCCACTGAGATCCCTCGCTGGGGCGAGCTGTCTAGGGAGGGAGTAGGTATCTTTGACCTTGACTTTGATGCTATTCTTGCTGCCATGTATGCTGTGACTATTAGTGATGAGGGTGACTGTTACCGGTGCTTTCCGCCCGACCTGGGCATTAAGACTGCTGCTCTAGGTACTGGTGAGGCTATTGCTCTAGGTGCTAGCAAGGCTGTTGCTCTAGGTGCCAGTGCGTCTGCTTCCTCAGGTGCTGGTGAGTTTTCTCTCTCAGGTACCGCATCGGCTTCGGCCTCCCACACCTTCACCCTTGACTCGGGGGCGTCTCGCTCCTTCTTTCGAGACTGCACCACACTCACGCCGCTTGGTCGGCCAGTTGCGGTCTCTCTGGCAGACCCCTCTGGGGGTCCTGTCCTTGCTCACTACTCCACTGTCCTCCCATGTCCGGCGGCCCCCTCTGGCACCCTGTCTGGTCTTTACCTCCCCTCGTTCTCTACGAACTTGGTGAGTGGTGCTGACTTACAGGATGCGGGGGTTCACCAGTTCACTCACTGCGCGGACGCTCGAACAGGCTGACACCTGGCCACGTTTACACGTCGGCCGGGGTCGAGCCTCTACACACTGACCACTGAGTCTCCTCCTGTCACTGCGTCTGGTCAGGTAGCTGCGTCGGGTCAGGTGTTTGCTGCAGCGTCCAGGTCTGGTCCTGAGTCTGCCCCCTGCTCGTGTCGCCTCCTGTCTCACGAGACTCTTCTATGGCACCACCGCCTTGGTCATCCCTCCCTGCTTCGTCTCCGAGGCATGGCCTCCCGTGTCCTTGTCTCTGGTCTTCCCCGGTCCCTCCCTCCCCTTCCCCCGGGGCCTGCCCCTGCCTACGTCCCCTGCGTCGAGGGGCGACATCGTGCTGCCCCTCACTCCTCCCAGTTTCCTCCGACAGAGGCCCCGCTGCAGACGCTTCACATGGACGTGTGGAGCCCAGCCCGCGTCCGTGGACAGGGTCACGAGCGCTACTTCCTGCTGGTGGTTGACGACTACTCGCGTTACACCACAGTCTTCTCCTTGCGCAACAAGGGTGATGCCACTGAAGTGTTGATCGACTCGATCCGCGCAGCTCGTCTCCAGCTCAGGCAGAGCTTCGGCTCGGACTTTCCTGTTCTGCGTCTACACTGTAACAGAGGCGGAGAGTTCTCCTCTGGCCTTCTGCGAGCCTACTCTCGTGCACGAGGTATCCGCCAGACCTTCACGCTTCCGGACTCTCCACAGCAAAATGGGATTGCTGAGCGCCGCATTGGCATGGTCATGGACGTCGCCCGTACGTCCATGATGCATGCGGCTGCCCCCCATTTTCTGTGGCCGTTTCCGGTTCGGTACGCGGCGCATCAGATCAACCTTCACCCCAGGGTCTCCATGCTGGAGACCTCCCCAGCTTTGCTGTGCACTGGGAAGGTTGGCAATGCGTCTGCGTTTCGGGTCTGGGGATCTCGGGCGTTTGTCCGCGACTTGTCTGCGGACAAGCTGTCCCCTCGTGCTACCCCTTGCGTCTTCCTTGGCTTCCCCCCTGACGCGCCAGGGTGGCAGTTCTACCACCCCACCTCTCGCCGTGTTCTGTCCTCCCAGGACGTCACGTTTGACGAGTCGGTCCCCTACTACCGCCTCTTCCCCTACCGCACTCCATCCCTCCCCCCTCCATCGCTCTTCCTTATGCCAGGTCCCCCCCCGGTAGACCCCCTCCCCCCTCAGGGTCCTGCCCCTTCAGGTGTGTCCCAGGTAGACGCAGTCGAGCCTGTCAAGGTTGTTGGTGACTCTGGTGCTGCTGAGGGTGCTGAGCCTGGGGGAGCTGACTCTGGGGGTGCTAAGCGTATGGGTGCTACGCCTGGGGGTGTTGAGCCTGAGGGTGCTACTACTGGGGGTGCTAAGCCTGGGGGTGCTGAGCCCGGGCGTGCTACGCCTGGGGGTGCTGAGCCTTGGGGTGCTACGACTGGGGGTGCTGAGCCTGGGGGTGCTACGCCTGGAGGTGCTGAGCCTGGGGGTGCGGAGCCTGGGGGAGCTGGGCCTTCTCGTGTCGCGTCTGGCGGTACTGTGCCTGGAGGTTCTCTGGGTGCTTCGTCTCGGTGGGAGCCACTCTCTCACAGGAGCTGCGCGAGTGGTTTGCTCGGCGCTGGAGCCGTGCTGCTGGAGCTGGAGGTTCTTCGGCTTCTGAGGGTGCTAGCGCAGCGCGGCCTTGTCCCTACTTGGTTCCGCTCCTTCAGCAGGTTCTTGGTCTTCCGCCTTCTACTAGTCCTCCTCCTCCCTTAGAGTGTCCACAGCCTGTCCCGTCACAGTTACAGTTCCAGCCGGCCTCCCCACTGCCTTCTCCTTCTCCTTACACTGGTCCTACTGGAGGTCTTGCTGAGCGTCGTGAGCCTGCGTCTTGCCCTGCGTTGCCTGTCCGTCCTGCTCGCACTAGTGGTCGTGGTTCGCGTCAGCGTCCTCCTCCTGTCCCTGGAACGCACCGGATGTCTCTGCGTCCGTCCACTGCTCCTCTGTGTGCCCCTTTGCCTTCTAGTCATGAGTCCTCTCTTCCTGCTCTTGCTGACCCGGAGCCGGACTCTCTTCGTGCTGTCAGTCCTACTGTCACGCGTCTTCTTGCTACTGTTTTCACTGACCCTTCCTTTGAGTCCACTGCTGCGTCTGCCCTAGTTGCTGAGCTCGTCGACTTTGCTGCTCGCTGTCGTGTAAACTACGCTGCTAGTCTTGTCGCTGAGTCTGAGTCTGTCTGTCCTCCGTCCGTCGGGGGTGAGTGTGCCCTTGGCGCAGACGTCCTTGAGGACAGGCAGGAGGAGTTCCAGTGTTTGGCTGCTGCTTCACCTCATCTCGTGTGCGTACTGCTTACCCCTGAGGGAGACCCGGATGCACTTGACATCCCGACTCCGCGCTCTTACGCGGAGGCCATAGAGGGTCCCTACTCCTCTCAGTGGCAGTCAGCCATGGACGCAGAGATGGCTTCTTGGAAGTCCACAGGCACCTACGTTGACGAGGTTCCCCCGCCTGGGACGAACATCGTCAGTGGCATGTGGATTTTCAGGGTGAAGCGGCCCCCGGGTTCTCCGCCTGTCTTCAAGGCGCGCTACGTGGCTCGTGGCTTCAGTGAGCAGCAGGGAGTTGACTACTTTCAGACCTTCTCTCCCACCCCGAAGATGACCACTCTTCGGGTACTGTTGCACATAGCTGCTCACCGTGACTACGAGCTGCACTCTCTTGACTTCAGCACCGCTTTCTTGCAGGGCAGCCTGCACGAGGAGATCTGGCTGCGTCGCCCACCTGGCTTTACTGGGTGTTTTCCTTTTGGCACCCACTGGAGCCTCCGGTGGCCAGTCTACGGTCTGCGCCAGGCACCTCGTGAGTGGCACGACACACTGAGGACTACACTTGCGGCTCTTGGGTTTGCTCCCTCTACTGCCAACCCGTCGCTGTTTCTGCGCACCGACACTTCTTTGCCGCCGTTCTACATCCTCGTGTAGGTCGACGACTTGGTCTTTGCCACAGCTGACACTGCTGGACTCGCCCACGTGAAGTCCGAGCTGCAGAAGAGACACACGTGCACAGACCTGGGTGAATTGCGCAGCTACCTTGGCCTTCAGATCACCCGGGATAGAGCATGCCGCACCATTACCCTGACTCAGTCACACATGGTGCAGCAGGTCCTTCAGCGCTTCGGCTTCACGTACTCCTCGCCTCAGGCCACCCCTCTACCTACTCGCCACTCGCTCTCAGCTCTGCCTTCGGATGAGTCCGTAGAGCCGAGTGGCCCGTACCCAGAGCTTGTTGGCTGCCTCATGTACCTGATGACCTGCACACGATCTGACCTTGCATACCCTCTTAGCATCTTGGCACGCTATGTTGCTCCTGGGAGACACAGATCAGAGCACATGGCTGCAGCGAAGAGGGTGTTGCGCTACTTGTGCAGTACGTCAGGCATGGGGCTTGTGCTTGGAGGGCAGAGTCCAGTGGTCCTCACTAGGCACGCAGACGCTTCTTGGGCTGACGACCAGGCTACGCAGCGGTCGTCACAGGGTTACACCTTCAGCCTTGGTTCCGGCTCTGTTTCGTGGCGGGCTACCCGCTCGTCTTCTGTTCTCGGCTCCAGTTGTGAGGCTGAGATCTACGCAGGAGCCATGGCTGCACAGGAGCTTCGTTGGCTCACCTACCTGCTGACTGACCTCGGAGAGCCGCCTCGTTCTCCTCCACTGCTGTACGTAGACTATAAGGCCATGCTGGCCTTGTGTCGAGAGCAGAGAATTGAGCACAGAACAAAGCACATTGCTCTTCGCTACTTCCTTGCTCGTGAGCTACAGCACCGTGGTCAGCTGCGCCTTGCGTACGTGGCCTCTGTGGCCAACACTGCTGATATCTTCACCAAGGCGCGTGCGCCTTGTGATCATCAGCGCTTCTGTACTCAGCTGGGTCTTGTGCCTGCCTTGCCTCTCTTGCTCACCAATTGACCTTGTTTGTCCTGTTACATATATATACACTTGCTCTTGCTTGTCTAGCCTTATATATATGTGTAATTGTACATGTGAACTGGCCTTGTGGCCTTGAACTTGTGCTCGGAATGTGTGGTGACTTTGTGATCCACCCTGAGCTTGCTTTGCTTTGCTTGATTGGTCTTGTGACCCCTTGTTCTCCCCCACTTTGCCTATGTGGGTGTGTCAGATTTATATGACATAGCTGTTGTAGGCTATAGTGGGGTAGCACATATGAGGTATGACTTTCTAGGGTTTGTACTTGTACCCAACTTTCCCTTAGTCAATTCATTCTCGTTCCTTTTCACTGTCCATGTCTTGCTGCTCGGCGTGGATTTTGGCGCAGAGCGCTGCTTCGGAGATTCTTCCGTGAGCTCGGAGAATGGCCTTTGTGGCGCGCCATTGAGGACCGAGGCCGGCGATGATGACTGTCACGAAGGCGTCTTCAGAAATCGACCCTCCGCATCGAAGAAGCTTGTCGCGCAACTCGCGACATCGACTGATATACGCCATTCCTTTCTCCCCTGGTTTCATTTCAACCGTTGTTAGTTGCGCCATTAACCGAGTTTGGCTTACGCTGTCTGTTGCTTGATATAGGCTCTTCAGGTGGTTGTACGCGAGCTCCGCGGAGTTGCCGTAACCTCGGTAAGACCTTATGTTCTGCTGTTGAGTCGGGGTGATATTCCTCAGTAGGATCGTGTACGCCATCATTGACTGATAGGTGTACTGCTGCTTCTCGTACTGTGTGCCGTTTGTTGGGTATGGCAGAGACCCGTCGAAGAACCCGAGTATCTGCGCGCCTTCCATCATCAGCTCGAACTCAAATGACCAGGTGAAGAAGTCCTTTCCATCGAAGGGTCTTGACGTCTGCATCTTCAGAACGTGTGAGAACTGCGACTGAACTTGTAATGCGTCCAGTGATTTTTCTTGTCCAAGTGAAGGCTGTCGGTGTGGCATAAAGCTGATGGACCCGCGCTCGTACGCAGCAAAGGTAGGCTGCTGTTGTTGATTTCCTCGTGCATATGATGAGCCGTCAAGACTCATGGGTGTTACTCCGTTGTTGTTGCTGTTGTGTGACTGCGCAGGTGCCGATTGCTGGTGTTGCTCGTAGAAGGACATGAAGGAGAAAAACTTCTCCATTATGCTCTGGTCGAAGTCTGCAGGTTGATTCGCGGGAGTCTCGGTAGATATTGCTCTGGGCCTTGTTGCCGTGCCCTCCTCTGTCTGTAGGCCAGAGGTAGGAGGTGGAGTAGGAGTAGTGCCCTGGGAGCCGTTGGAGTTGCTCCTTTTCTTTTTTGTAGCCATGCTAATTGATATTGTCGGTATAGAAGTTGAATTCCCCCTGATTGCTCTCATACCATGTTGGGCTGAAAAACCCTTAGGATCTTTGCAGGGGTGAACTCTGGGTAGAGTGGGTGTAGTAGCGGAAGCATTAATTAAAGGGTTGTGAACCACCTTGCGCTAGTATGTGAGAGCAAAGTAAGTTAATTAAAGCAAAGAGATACAGGATTATATATGAGTACAAGGGATATGAAGAGGTATGGTTATAACTGCTGTTGCTGTTGCGGTTCGATACAGTGACGACTCAGGCAACTGCTCTGTAGCGAGTCAATTGTGTGTCCTTGCTGTCGCGCTGTACTTGTCAGGTCAAAGGTCGCTGACCTTTGAATTTCGTGTAACCTCCAGCAGTTACTTCAACCTCCGAGGGTTGACTCGCTGGTGCCTCGATATGCTTTGCTTCGCTTGTGCCTTGGTGTTTCGACACGAGAGAGGCGCTTAAGATCAATTGTTTCCAACAAGTACATCCACCGGTACGAAGTACCTCCCCCAGAGAGACGAATCTTGCCTTCACTGTCGTGCAGCTTGTCACAGCCACTGGAAACCACACAGTCCAGCAGCTTGAGTTGGCCCACATCATCCGGCAGCGCCTCCAGCTGCGCGCACCCCTCCAAGTCAAGCTTGTGCAGGCGGGTGAGGCGAGACAAGTTGGCGGGCAGGCATGTGATGGCGGCACTGTGCACTCGCAGCTCACGCACACAGGCCAGCTGCGTGAGGGTGGCCGGGAGATGCGTGAGCGCTGGGCTGTTGGAGAGAATCAGCTTGCCTAGTCGGGATCGCGCCCCGATTGAATCGGGCAAGGAAGGCAGATTGGGGGCGTTGATCTCGAGGTAGGTGAGTTTCTGCAGCGCTGAGATGGTGGCTGGGACCTCTTTCAGCTCAGGCAAGAGTAACTCCAGCTGCCGCAGCTCCTGCAGTGTTGAGGTGGAGAAGTTTGGCAGCTGCATGACTCCAATGGTGATGAGTGTGAGGGAGCGCAGGCAAGGGAGGTCCGTCAACGCGAATGGGAACTCCTCACACGCCAACACCACATGCAAGTGCTCCAATGAGGAAAGGCTGCTGGACAGAGCAAGTGGAAGGATGATCATGTTCAACCTTGCGCTCTTGAGGCGTGGGAGAGAGTAGGTACCCGGCAGATGCATCACCTGCTGGGCTCCATTCTCCAAGCATATGGTTTCCAGCGACCCCGGCAAAAACTCAGGGGCTCGCCTCAGCCTGCCACATTCGGAGAGCTCCAGCTGCTTCAGCCTTGTGAGATTGACGAGGCTCTTGGGCACGGAGAAGAGGATGCCGCACTTGTCCACCACGAGCACTTGCAGGCTCAGCAGCGCGGCCATGGACTCTGGGAGCTGCTGGATGCGCGGGCACGACAGCACGTGTAGCTCGCGCAGGCGCCTCAGCTCGCCTATCGCGTCTGGCAGCTCCGCCAACTCGCACTCGTGCAGCTCCAGGCGCGCGAGCGACGCTAGCTGCGTGAAGGAGGAAGGGAGGGTTTTTCGAGCCCTGTACGACTTGAGGAATAAGGTTTGGAGGTTGGTGAAGCCTCCGATGTTGTCAGGGAGAACCACGAAGGGAGAACCCGCGATGCACATGGTGTTGAGCGCGGTGAGGGCGGCGAGCGGCTCTGGTAGGTCGTCCAGGTACTCGCAGTCCGTGACCACGAGCGTGTCAAGGGCCTGCAGCTGGCTGCACGACCCGGGGAAGTAGACGTTCAGCTTGTGCAGCACGAGCGTTGCCAGCGCAGGCAACTCTCCCAAGTAGTCTGGCAGGCCCACGAATGGGCACCTGGCAAGCTTCAAGGAGCGCAGCCCGGTGAGCAACGTGACCGCCTCGGGCTGCTCCAGCAAAGTGTCGCATGCGCTGATGCTCAGCTCGCGCAGGCACGGCAGGCGCTCGGCGATGTCGTGGGGGAGATTGCTCAGCTCGTCGCACTCGTACAGCGCCACGCGCTCCAGCAGGCTGCACGGGGAACCTTACGGAAACATCACGTCGAGCGGTAGAGAGAGGCTGGACCCGAGATCCAGCGACCCGAGCGATGATAGGCGCGCGAAGGAGAACGGTCGAGGGCGAACGTTGCTTGATAAAAGCGAGACTTCGTGCCGCACGGAGAGGGACGTGGCGCGGCAGGTGCGCGAGGGGCTCGAGGTCGTCGAAATCCCACACCGCCGTGTCGATGGCGATCGCCGTGAGCGCGCTCAAGCTCTTCACTTCTGGAGTCGTTACCGCGGACAGATCGGCCAGCGCGAGGGATCGGAGATGCACGAGCTGGAAGAGCGAAGGTGGTAACCCGAAATCGCAATGCAAGCAGTCCAGCGAGAGGTGCTCCAGCTGCGTGCAGCCGCGGAAGAGCACATCGAAGCCCGCTGGCGTGAGCAAGGTGTCCCCCGGCGGGTCGAACTCGGGATTCTGCACGATGGCCCTCCCCAGGTGGAACGCCATCAGCTTCGGGCAGCACGCGGAGAGGCGAGCGAGGAAGGAGTCGTCGATGGGCTGCGCGCTGCCGTCACTGAGATGCAGGTGCGTGAGGTGTGGGAAGCACGCGACCGCCGCGCCGAGTTCCTCGCGAGACACGGCGCGGTCCTCCTTGATGAGGAGCGTGGACACGTGGCGCTGTGCCAGGCAACGCCAGCGACGGCAGATCGACGCAAGGAGAAGATTGTACGCGACGTCGGCGTACGCTTGAGGAAGAGGGGGATTCGGAAACATGGTGATACCAGCCTCTCTCTGCTGGTAACTTGGCTCGTCTGCATTTTCGCGAATGAACTTCGGGGTAGGCCGCACGGTGGCCCACAGAGCCTTATCGTCGGGCTGGCGGGAGGAGAGGCGGTGGGAGGGCCAGAAGATGGCAATGAGAAGCTCGAAGGACGTTCATGCGGCAACACGCCATCACACTACCTCAGGTTTAAGGTAACCTAGATAAAAAGGGGTACGAAAGCAAGAGCGCTCGCTTGGATTTCGGTCTTACGGATAATAACTTCTCAAAATGGAATATATTGTGGCTGCTATGTTGATTCTGCATTTCTGATCTCTCGCCTATTGCCCCTCCTCCCCTCTGCAGTTTGCGGCGTTGCTCCGTCGTGTCCAATGCTGCTGTGCTGTCCGATGGCCTCACATCACAATCCGCCATTTCGAGAGAATGACTCCAGTGGCCAATAAGGTGATTCACCATCCCTCGCGTGGCCACGAATTACTCGAGTGGTCACCAAATTTGGTGATAATGACTCGAGTGGCCACACCAGGGGATTCTTCCTGGATTTTTTTTCTTCGGCGCATTACCCTACGGGGCTTTGTAGCCCCGCAATTCCCCATTCGTGCGAGTGGTATCCCTAGGTAGTGTTCCATTCTGTTTTGCACCCGAAAGTTTCGCCAGGCTCACGGACGCGAAAGTGGCCCGCTCACTGTACATTTACCAATAGTACATTGACCGGTCAGTTTCGGCCAAATGCTCGACTAATGAGCGCGCTGTCAATATAATTCACATCCAATCAGCGAACGAGCATATAACTTCGCGATCATACACATGATGCCCAACCCGTGCACGCGAATTTGCCCTGCACCGGATGGAAAACCTGCACCCGAGGTTTTATCCCCAGCCAGTTGCACGCACGTTGCAAGCACGTAAACCAATAGGAACGAGCAGACCGAAGTCAAAATGAAGAGACTGAAGTCAAAATGTCAACGGACCAGTTACAGAATGTTTATAAGCACCTGACGAATCCTTTTTTGTGTCAAACTTATATGCTATAGTCTGTGTAGGCTGTAGTGGGGTAGAAAATATGGGGTACAACACTTTTAGGTTTTCCTACTTGTACCCACCTGTTTCCTAGTGCATTCATTCCTCGTTCTTTCACATGGTATAGAGCAGGTTCCCTAGTGGGAACGTTTCCTAGGGCCCACCAAAAATCGATTTTTTTTTTTCCTGCCCGGAGCGCGCTTTGCCCCTGCCCGAGTCGCGCCCCGTGTGCCTGCCCTCCCGTCGCGTCCCCTGCCCTAAGCGGCCCGTCGCACTCCCTTACGGCCCCGTAGCGGCCCCTCTCACGGCCCCTCACGGCCCCTTTCACGGCCCTTTGCGGCCCCTTCAAGCCCCTCGGGGCCCCTTCGTGGCCCCTCACGGCCCCTTCGTGGCCCCGTCGCCGCCCTTCGCGGCCCCGTCGCCGCCCTTTGCGGCCCCGTCGCCGCCCTTTGCGGCCCCGTCGCCGCCATTCGTGGCCCCGTCGGCGCCCTCCGCGTTCCGTTGCCGCCCTTCTAGGCCCCGTCGCCGCCCATCGCGGCCCCGTAGCTACCCGTCTCGGCCCCGTCGCCGCCCTTTGCGGCCCCGTCGCCGCCCTTCACGGCCCCGTCGCCACCCTTCGCGGCCCCTCGCGGTCCCGTCTTGGCCCCGTCGCCGCCCTTCGCAGCCCCCTCACAGCCCCTTCTCGGCCCCGTCGCCACCCCTCACGGCCCCTTCGTGGCCCCTTCTCGGCTCCTTCGCGGCCCCTTCTCGGCTCCCTCACGGACCTGCCGCCCCTGCTGCAGCAGCCGTCACCGCCCCTGCAGCGGGAGCCGCCACCGCCGGTGCCGCCGACACCAGCAGGCGCCGCCGCCACTGCCGGGGCCGCAGCCGCCAACAGCAGCAGCTGCCGCCGCCACAGCTGGGGCCGCAGCCGCCGACTGCGGCCGCCGCCCCCGCCGACAGCAGGGGCCGCCGCCGCCGCTGTCCCGGCCCTGCCCTCCAAAGAGGCGCGGCAATCCTCTGCCGCCCTGTAGCGGCCCCGTCCCTGCTGGCGCGCCTCGGCCCTGCCCCACCACTTACGGACCTCTACCCACCTGCCCTGGTAAGAGCACCGCCGAGCCTCGCCCCTACTGTTGCTACTGCTGCTGCTGCCCCTACCCTGCTGCAACTGCTGTCATGGCTACCCCTAGCGTGCTCGTCTTTGATGCTGAGGGTGGGGCTGTTGACTTTGAGGTCTGGGTCGATGATCTACAGCTTTTCCTCCAGTGCGATAGGAAAGACGGTCTCTCACTATTCGATCTCACGTCTGGCGCCTCTGCTGCCCCTGCTGCCGATGCTAACAGCACTGTTTTCTCACAGTGGGCCACACGCGATGCTGCTGCCCGTCTTGCTGTGCGTACTTGCCGTCCACTGAGCGCGCGCACTTTAGTCAGTATAAGAGTGCTAAGACCTTGTACGACGCTGTAGTTGCACGATACTCTTCCCCTGCCACTGCTGCCCTTAGCCGCCTCATGCTGCCGTACCTCTTCCCTGACCTCGCCGCCTTTCCCATAGTCGCTGACCTCATTACGCACCTTCGCACTAGTGACACCCGCTACAGCGCAGCGCTTCCTGCTGAGTTCTGCGCCAAGAACCCCCCCCCCCCCCCCCCCCCCCCCTTCTACATCACCCTCTACTACATAGTCACCCGACTCCCTGACTCCCTTCGCTCAGTCAGGGACCACTTTCTCTCTGTTTGCCCCACCACACTCACCGTTGACCTCCTTGAGGAGCGCCTCCTGGCAGCTGGGAAGAGTATAGACGCTGTAGGAGCCTCTCGTGGTGACCCTCGTGCCCCCTTCTTTGAGGGGTGCTCCCCCTCCCCCCTTTAGCCCTCTTTTGCCTCTACTGCTGCAATCAAATTCGTTGGCACCGAGTCGGTCGGCGTTGCGTCTGCCCCTGGCGGGAGACGCCGCACCGACAAGGGCAAGGGGGGCAAGGGAGCTGGAGGGGCTGGTGGGGGCGGTGGAGGTGGCGGTGGAGGCGGCGAAGGGAGTGGGGGTGGCAGTGGGAGTGGTGGCGGGGGTGGAAGCTTCGGTGGCGGCGGTGGAGGCGGAGGCGGCGGCGGTAGCGGTGGGAGCGGAGGAGGAGGCGGTGGCGGCGGTGGCGGAGGTGGCGGCGGCGGAGGTGGAGCTGGTCAGGGTGGCTCTGTGCAGCGGAGCGGCTTCGGTGGTGGTCAGCGCCAGCAGCAGCAGCGCACTCGTGAGACCCCGCCCCCCGAGCAGCTTCGTGAGTGGTACACTGCGCGTCAGCGGGGTGGGGGTGCTGGTCCTTGTGCCTACGTCCTGCGTTCCGGCGACCGAACTGGTGAGCAGTGCGGTGGCCCGCACACCACCCAGTGCTGCTTTGGCCGCCTGACGGACGCTTGGCGTCTCCAGTTCCCTGACGCCACTAAGATCCCCCGCTGGGGCGAGCTGCTTAGGTTGGGGGTTGCTATCTTTGATCTGGATTATGATACCATTATTGCTGCCATGTATGTTGTGTCTACTAGTGATGAGGGTGACTGTTACCTGTGTGTTCCGCCTGACCCGGGCATTGACGCTGCTGCTCTAGGTGCTGGTGAGGCTGCTGCTCTAGGTGCTAGTGCGTCTGCTGCCCCAGGTACTGGTGAGTCTGCTCTCTGAGGTACCACGTCAACTCAGGCCTTACACACCTTCACCCTTGACTCGGGTGCTTCCCGCTCCTTCTTTCGAGACCGCACCACGCTTACGCCGCTTAGTCGGCCAGTTGCAGTCTCCCCGGCGGACCCCTCCGGGGGTCCTGTCCTTGCCCACTTCTCCACTGTCTTACCGTGTCCGGCGGCCCCCTCTGGTACCCTGTCAGGTCTCTACCTCCCCTCGTTCTCTACGAACTTGGTGAGTGGTGCTGATCTACAGGATGGGGGGGTTGACCAGTTCATTCCTGCGAGTCAGCGGGTGACCCACTGTATGTGTGCTCGGACGGGCCGACACTTGGCCACGTTCACCCGTCTGCCGGGGTCGAGCCTGTACACACTGACTACTGAGTCTCCTCCGGTTGCTGAGTCTGGTCAGGTAGCTGCGTCGGGTCAAGTGTTTGCTGCGGCGTCTAGGTCTGGTCCTGAGTCTGCTCCCTGCTCGTGTCGTCTCCTATCCCACCGGACTCTCCTCTGGCACCACCGCCTTGGTCACCCCTCCCTGCCTCGTCTCCGAGGCATGCCCTCCCGTTACCTTGTCTCTGGTCTCCCCCGGTCCCTCCCTCCCCTCCCTCCGGGGCCTGCCCCTACCTGCGTTCCCTGTGTCGAGGGGCGGGAGTGCGCCGCCCCTCACTCCTCCGAGTTTCCTCGAACAGAGGCTCCGCTGCAGACTCTTCACATGGACGTGTGGGGCCCCGCCCGCGTCCGTGGCCAGGATCACGAGCGTTACTTCCTGTTGGTGGTTGACGACTACTCGCGTTACACCACGATGTTCCCCTTGCGCAGCAAGGGTGACGTCACTGAGGTGTTGATCGACTGGATCCGCGCGGCTCGTCTCCAGCTCAGAGAAATTTTCGGCTCGGACTTTCCTGTTCTGCGTCTGCACTCTGACAAAGGCGGGGAGTTTTCCTCTGCCCTTCTGGGAGCCTTCTGTCGTGCACAGGGCATCGCTAGACGTTCACTCTTCCGGCCTCTCCACAGCAAAATGGGATTGCTGAGCGCCGCATTGGCATGGTCATGGACGTCGCTCGTACTTCCATGATCCATGCGGCTGCTCCCCATTTTCTGAGGCCGTTTGCGGTTCGGTACGCAGCGCATCAGATCAACCTTCAGCCCCGGGTCTCCTTGCCGGAGACCTCCCCCACCTTGCGGTGGACGGGGAAGGTTGGCGATGCGTCTGCGTTTCGTGTCTAGGGATCTTGGACGTTTGTCCACGACTTGTCTGCGGACAAGCTGTCCCCCCGTGCTGTTCCTTGCGTCTTCCTTGGCTTCCCCCCTGGCGCGCCTGGTTGGCAGTTTTAC